GATAATTAAAGGTCAAATTGTGATTGAACAAACATTTCCCATTAGATAAGATATGGTTATTGTCATAGAGATTCATAATTCTCCAGGGAATGTGAAATATATCATTGCATTGGGACATCAGGCACTTCTAATGATAAAAGGATTGTGACCACAACAGATTATGTTATATTGTCAGAGATATTGATTGTTCGTAGTCACCTTATGTTCTTTGATTTTCATGAAATTTGTGTTTAAAGATGAAAACATTTTAAATTAAATTTTGAAGGAAATTGTGACCATTTATCATTAATGATATGCCTATTCACTTCAGGCCTTTAATACCATATATTGTTGCATAATATTTATTGATTCATTTGTTTTCCCATTTGACAGTCAGGTTCGATTCCAAGAAGTGTATATGTGTGAAGAGGCTTTTTGCATTGTGTTCCTTTCTGTGATGTATACTACTCAAATTTTGATAGGGATTATCAACTATGTCCTGTTTAAATGTACACAACATGTTGTGAGAATCTGTGTTGCGTATCGTGGAAAGATAAAACTATCCCTATCAAAAGTGGGGTAGTATCTATGAATGGAATATTGCCAACAGCCGCTAAACTCATTCGCTCAAAAGGCTCATATGGTGTCACTTCATCTGCTGAATTATTTCTGTTTTTTATATCCAAGATTTGACAGTCTTGAAAAGGCCTTTAATTTGGTAGTCCAGCCTTGAAAAGGCCTTGGATTTGGTTGTCCAGCCTTGAAATGGCCTTGAATTTGGTTGTCCGGCCTTGAATTTGGTTGTCCAGTCTTGAAATGGCTTAGTATTTGGTTGTCTAGCCTTGAAATGGCCTTGAATTTGGTAGTCAAGCCTTGAAGAGGCCTTGAATTTGGTAGCCCATCCTTGAAGAGGCCTTGAATTTGATAGTCAAGCCTTGAAATGGCTGTTGAAAGTTTAGTAGTTAATTTGAACATACAAATTGGGACATTCTGACACTGAAGTATAGTATACTTAAGAATATCCGAATAAGTCTGTTTGAAAGGACACTGGAGTCTTCAGCCTTGAAAAGTGTGATCGTTGCCTTGAAAAGGACTAAACAAGGCCTTAAATTTGATGACTCAAATTTGGCGTGAATCTTAGTATAGGATTGGAGCTCCGATCAGATGGAAGCTTAATGAGGACTCTTTGCGGACAAATCTCAGGGTAATACTAGCCACACAGCAATGATTGTATACTTCAGACCAACCCCTCTAATTATGAAGTCAATAACAATAATCAAAGAAGGTAATATACTCCGTGTGAGCTGATACTGAAAGGGAATGGGTGGGAAAGTGGCAACACTGGCCCATTAAGAGTAAAGCCTATATTTAAGATGGGACAATAATGCTGTATTTCTCTCCATCAGCTGTTTAGGACTAATCCCTTGATACCATATAGCCATTAAAACTAGTCATATCATTGTGGGGACATTCAGCCGGCCATTGAAGTAGAGTCACCGCTCAGAACACAGTCATTATGCAAATATCTAACTGAATACATCTCTTCAACATCTCAAGGTGTGAATTCTGTTTGAATTTGCATAGCATAACGAATGCAAATTTGAATGATGTTGTATAATTTTATGACATGCTTCTAACACACAATAAGAATAAATCAAATTTTAATTCTCCTAATTCTCATTCCCAAATTCATTATAAGATGAAAATGCAGATTTTGATTTCAGGCAACCTTTATTCTAATTTTGGCTCTTTGATCTTGGATTACACATTGTTCATCCAAAGCTGAATATAAATCAGTCCGTAGTTTGTAATCAGTTAAGTGATTGTAAGATAACTTGTGGATTTCGGGCATTGGTCAATCAACCTGACAAAGGTCATTATTGATGCGAGGGTGAAGGTTGACTGACTTTACCATTCTGAAATGTCCTAGCCTCTCCATAGGCGGCATAAACATGTAGCTATCTCACAACATCATCCCAAATGGCAGCTGATTGTTAATTTATGACTGACAGTTTGTGACAGTGATTGGGAGTCCGTGACATGTACATAAGGATTTAATTGTGCACAGATTTTGGCTCCCATGTGGGTTTCATTCTTTGACTTATCTCGAGTTGAAATCAGTTGGAGTTTAACTCTGCTGGGATATTAAATCATTGTGGTGATTGAGAAATATTTGGATGTGACAGTAATTGTTTCCAGTAAACTAGGTGACTACATTAATGTGTCATTCTTGATTCTTCATTCTCATCGCAAGCTCGTTCTTACTGTCTTCCTAAACTGTTATTGAAATATTAAAATTGTTTCTTATAAACTAAATTTTCAAAAGAGATTAGATGCCATATTTGATTATAGCTGAACTAAACTGAAACAAATTTGTCCATGGAAAAAGATGTCATATGAACAGTGAGCTGGTAGGATTATTTCACACAGTATTTTGCCTAAATGATATTTGAATGAATATTTTATTTAATTTATAAACTTAACAAAGTTATACTGATCATGAATATATTGACTATATTTTTTTATATTACGTGCTCTGCCTTCACTACAAAAACATATCCCCCAAATATTCATGATCCCTAACTTTTTGGGTTCAGGATATATGTATGTAACAATGCATACCAATAGAAAAGTTAATTTAATTGCAATGCTATTTTTGAAATATTGAAACAACAGGACAAACAAATGTAGACACACTTCCGGTTTGCCCAAAGGACAAAAATATGCTTAAACTGCATTATGCTGATCCCCAACTCCATGCGCCGCCTTTCTGAAACAGAAAATGTGCACTATACAGAAGAAATTACTGTAGCACCAGCAAAAATTTCTTTCGTTTTTAATCACTATTCTTTTACAGAAGTTCAAAGAATTTTTAGGAATTTCTAGGCCCCAATACAAGACTGGGGGCAAGCCCAGTTCCTAAAGCATTCACTTGTGTTGAGCACCTAGGTGTGAAGCCCTAGTGTCCATAATAATAATAATGATAATAATAATAATATAGCCATTTATAATGTGCCAGATTCCGTTCACCAAGTGAATATTCATGCTCTAGATAATTATTAAAACGGTCAGTGGATCAGTGTGCACTCAATATGGCTGGAATGGGGGTAAGAGTGACATAAACCCTACTCACTGATTGCTATGCTACAGTACTGCTGATGCAGGATTGACCACTCACTCATTCACCCACCCACCCACAAATCCACTAACCCACCCACTCACTCACCAACCCCCCCCCCCCCACACACACACACACACATCCACTCACTCACTCACCCACAAATCCACTCACTCACTCACTCACTCACTCACTCACTCACTGTATATAACAGCTCACAAAGAAAGGCATGAGCAGCTACTTTCCCTTCCTCATTGTCAACAGAGAAGTCAATACCCAGCCATTTGCTGATTGAGTGGCCTTCACTGACCGGCGTCAATGTTTATCAACATGCAGATAACTGTTGATAATTACTATGGTAAATTAACGCAATAATCTTTTGCTTCTTGGATAATTAAATCACTCAAACTGATACAGCTTGATTGGTCACTGCTGCTCGTACAATCAGATCATATTTGATTGGATTGTATATTAGACAAGGATGATTGTGTTTACTGCAGAAATAATTTCTTTAAACTCTGTTATTTGTTCAAATATTTGGAAGAAATTTAGGTGACAACTTTATTATTTTTTCGATTTGTTTTTTTCGAAACTTTTTTTCCTCAGAATTTAGAGTCCACATTTTGAACCATAGAATGAAGGTGTGCACGACTTTATACTTAGGTATCAAGTGAGTTAAAATTTAACATTGCTTGAGGAATATTGCAGACATATGTAACAATAGGGGGTAAACGTGGAAGTATTTACACATGGTGAGAGGAGCGTGGGAATGGAAGGCTGACTGTAGTATGCTGTGATTCTAGTTATTTGTTGCAACAATCTCTGTCATAATGTTGTATGTAACGTGCTTTGCTATATATTACGATGCACATATTTGAAATGTGTGTCTCAGTGTTATATGTTTATAAACTTCACTATGTATAATGAAACACATATTTGAAAAGTGTGTCACATTGTTAGATCTTTATATACTTCACTATATATTATAAAACACATATTTGAAATGTGTGTGTGTCACATGTTATTTGTTTATGAACTTCACTATATATTATGATACATTTTGCATCTTTTACATCTTGCATCCACACATCTGTTAAGATCCGGGTTAGAATAGGTCTACAGCAACCCATCCTAGCCGAAACAGGCAACTATGTTTTTCGCAAGAGGCAACTTAACAGGATCAGGTGGTCAGGCTCGCTGACTCTGGTGAGGCATGTCAACATATTGCAATTGCCTGGATTGATGCTCTTGATATCAATCACTGGATTGTCTGGTCCAGACACGATTATTTACAGACCGCCATCATAGCTGGAATATTGCTGACAAACCAACCAACTCTAACATCCAGATGGCATGCCGTGATATAACTGAAATACTATTCAGAAGGTTCTTTCACTTAACTAACTCTATTACTCACACTTTTTCAGTGCCTTAGGTGGGTACCAATAGGTTGGATTTTTAGATCTGCATGTTTTGTTCCTTATTCTAAAATATCATCGTAATAGTCGTGTCATATAAACAGATTGCAATATTATTGGTTCCTGATTGAGGCTGTGAGAATAGGGGCAGTGTCACAAATCCGTAGTCAGTCAAATTTTGGGTCATTTTTTCTGGCTTAGTAAATATGCGAATAACAGACGTCAAGTTGAATCTCAAATGCGAAATTATATCTATGCGGATGTGGATCATCAGCCTGTCTGTTGGGAAACAGGGGGACAGCTGGTTCTGCTTTGGTATCATTACTGCAATTTGTGTTTTGAAAATACCAAATATTGACCTTTTTTGTTGTATTGTTAGATCTAGTTACATAAGACTCTTACAAGGTTTCAGCACGATTATGATTAGTTATTTTACACTAAAAATAAAGGACACTCATAATAAAAACCATTTTCACTTGTTACAGGTCTCCAGGTGACACAGACGTTTGTAGGATGCTTGAGGAACGTCTACTTCAACGACTTCTCCGTCCTCCACGGCCTCCGCACCAACAACTCTCAGTGTGCCTATCATGGAGGCTTAACCCCTGAGTTCAAATGTGATCCCACCCAAGAGATCCCTTTCACCTTTCCAAGGTCGTCGTCGATGTTGCGACACAACACTCCTATGCTGCAGAATCTGACGGTGTCATTACAGTTCAAGACAGTCAGGAAGAATGCCCTGTTGTTCTACGTGGAGCTGATCTCTAAGAGGGATGGTGGCGCTTATGACTTTGGTTTCATTGAGGTAGGAACATGTCATTTCATTATGAAGACGTACTACGTAGGGTGTCCTTTGAAAATAGTTTTAGAATTATGCACATATTTGGTATGTCCTGGAAGTATTTTTACAAAAGCTGATTAATTACACAACTGTGTTAGCCTGAATGTCTTGCTCCCAATGCAATGAAGACTGCAAGAGTTATCTCCCCATTTGTTGTGCAAGAAATTTAGTTTTGCTCAGACTTTAATAACTAACGTAAGAATCCATTAAAATTTGTACTTTCTTTTTGACTTGATTTGCTGAGGGTGCACAGAGAAATACTGGAGACTCATTGGATATCCCGATGGCTACTGTTCGATTATCAGTGTCCTGCAATTCATAGATCAGGACCGCCTCCATGGTCTAGTGGCAGAGTGTCTGATTGGAAAGCGCTGGTACGGGGTTCTATTCCTGGCTGTGTCATACCAAAAGACATTTTACTTGTTGTTACCCTGCCTGGTGCTCGGCATTAAGGGGCTAAAACAAGCATCGGTCGACTCAGAGTCAGTATACTGTGTCTACTGTGTCTAATATGTGTCTCTACCCTGACCTGACCAGTGCTTGACATTCAAAGAATATAGACCCAAACCAATATGTGTTGCAAGAAATACAATTTATGGCCAAGATTGGTTACCGCTCAGTGCATGTAGCATTACCATTGTCTGGTGTGATTATGAATTTATTTGGCTTTGACAGATGTGATGCAGTGAGATATTTGTTGTATTAATAAATGGAATATATGTAACACCTGTCTCCCTGCTGCTGCTGTAGGTGTGGGTGAAGAATGGCCTGCCCCTCCTGTACTTCTCCCCCTCCAAGGACCCCACCCTCACCCAGAACCTCACCCTCCCAGCCCAGGTCAACAATAAACAGTGGCACTCCCTCAAGCTCACCCTCAAAAACAAGTAAGATGTTGGAACGCTGTAGATAATCAGTAGTGATTATTGATGTTAGTCTCTTGAAGATGTTGGAATGCTGTAGAAATTTGATCATGGACTTATTTGTATATGGCTTTTGAAAGATGGTGGAATGTAAAAATCAAGAGTAAATTTATTGATGTGTGCTTGTTGAAACTTAAGATGTTGGAATGCTATAGAAAGTCAATAATAAGTCTATTGATATGTGACTGTTGAAAGATGTTGGAATGCTTTAGAAAATCAGAAGTAAACTTATGCAACAGTTCATTCAGAGGTAAATATTAAGTACCAGGTAGATATTTGGCATTCATGTTATTGGCATATATTTCACGATAACGGGTTTCACTGCTGTATCTAACAATGAATGGCCACATATCGTGTGCTCCGTGTGTTTATGCATGCATGGAGGTTACACTGAAAAGAGAAACTGGGAATTATTCCCAAGATATTTTCCTACCTATCAAACTATCATTAACAATGCTGGTCAAACCGGGATGGACATTTTTTAACAATGCCATTAAGATATCCAATAACAGCAAGTGTCTCTCCACAGCAAAGCCAAGATCAATGTGGACGAGACGACAAGAACCACATCCCACTTTACTCAGACTTTACGACAGCGAGGCAAGATTGTGCTGGGGTATGGGCTCCGACGATATAAAAGTGAGTGACAAGATATGCAAAAGTTCTTTAATTCCTACTTTGGACTCTCTCTGTCATAGGGTCATAAAGGTCTCTGTACCCTTGCTTTTCATCCTTCATGATCGCCTCTAAAACTTTGATGATCCACCAGGGGCGGTCGGGTAGCCCAGTGGTTAAAACGAACACCCGGGTTCGATTCCCGACATGGGTACAATGTTTGAAACCCATTTCTGGTGTCCCCCGCCATGATATTGCTGGAATATTGCTAAAAGTGGCGTAAAACCATACTCACTCACTCACTCACTCCATGATCCACCAGTACTTGTCATCATTAAAGCCACCTGGCCTAGTTTCACTAACACTTCTATATATATATTGGGCAGATTCTGAAGGGTTTGTGGGCTGTATGAAAGCCATCAAGATCCAGGACAAGAAGATAGACCCCATCAACACCATCGACACCAGCGCCGCAGTCGGCATCAAGCTGGATGGCTGCCACCTCGTCAACTACTGCGCTGCTGACAACATCTGCGAACACAACAGCGAGTGTCTGTCTGACTGGGATGGCGTACAGTGCGACTGTCCCCAACACTATGAGGGGAAGGCCTGCCACTTCTGTGAGTACACTGGCCTCCTGGTTAACTATGTCATGTGCGTAGACTTGTGTCCCTTAGTCAGGCTAGGATCTGCTGATCATGAGTTCACATCCCAGATATACCAACCCGTGCTTGCCGTAAATGGAGATTGTCATAAGAGGCGACTAACGGGATCGGGTGGTCAAGGTCGCGGACATGGTTGATGCATGTCATCGATCCTTATTGCGTGGATCAATGCTCATGTTGTCAATCACTTGATTGTCTGGTCCAGACTCGATTATTTACAGACCAACGTCATATAACCGGAATATTGCTGTTATTAAACAACAAACAAACATACCTGTTCCTGGATTACCGTCACTTTGTGCTATCCTGCTATTTCTATTTTGCAGAAATGCCATGAAATAAGTGAAATAGTGTTCAAAGTTTTATTAGATCCACTTCATCCTCTCACAAAGTGAACTTGATTTATTCCCAACTGACTGACACACTCACAAACCATGTTTAAAGTTAAAATGAGTGACAAAGATAAAGAAATTAAAGACCTTGCCTTTAGGCATTTTGTGATTCTTGTAGATAAAGGTAATAAGTTAAAGAATCATTTTATGAAGTTTCATGCTGTTACACGACAACCTTGACTTTGGCCTCAGATCAATAAACAAGGGCAGATCCAGCATTTTTAAAACGGAGAGGTCCAAAATATCAAAATCCTCTCTCAGATACTTTTACTGCCTGCAACATACTACATTTAGTACGCCTTTGATTAATTTTCTTATTTGACTTTGCTTCAGCCAAATATCCAAGAACATGTGACGCTTACTTTCAATCTGGCCGCAACACATCTGGTGTGTACCTCATTGACCTTGATGGCAGCGGTAACCTTGACCCTGTGTACGTCCAGTGTCACATGAACAAGATGCACAACGATCACATGTACGGGGAAACAGTGATTGACCACAACTTCCGCCTCAATACCACTGTCAGGGGGAGCATGATGAATGACGTCCGCTACCATCTCGATTACAGGTACTGTCTCCTCTTGGCTCACTTGTACTATCTGTTTTAGGCGTTGATGAGACTAACATTGTCATTCATGGCTTAAGTCAGTTTCACATTAGATCAGATTAGCGCATAAACTGGCATGGACAGCCAAACAATACAACTCAACTCATGATAGATATTCTTATCTTTCCATGATACCCAACACTGATTCTCATAACGTGTCAAGTGTATATTTAAATAGAACAAAATATCTGATTATCTCTACCAAAAGTTTAGTTGTGTATTTCTATTTTCCGGATGGTGTGGATTGGATCGTTGTTCATACAGTCATCCACTGTTTCGGTTGGCAAAGACTTCATTATTTACAGGCCACAATTCGGTCTGCACCCTGATACGAGGGGATGTCGCCTTAATTTTCAGAAAGACAGACTCAGTCTTCTATTTCATGACTGACAATTAATTTCTCATCACCCAAATTATCGTCAACAAGTTGGCCAAATCATCAAGTTAGCCAATAAAAAAACCAGAAAATTAGTCATGTGACTAATAGTATTTGTTGTCAAACTACGGATTGTTTAACGATCTAAAGTGGTAGGCATCTAGTGAATATTTGTTATATTTTTGTGTAGGGTCATGTTTTGTATTCTTGAAAGTAAACAGGTGGTTCTGCCTGTCTGTAGAGCTGCCTGTCCATTAGTTCTTAGAATTAGTATTGTTGATGAGAAGCCTGATTACGTACAACAATCCTGGAACTAGACTGATAGCTATTGGAACATTCACACTAACTTATTCCAACTTGCAGAGGCATGAGCCGAGAGCAGCTGCGGACACTGACACTGTTCTCCTACGAGTGCCGTCAACACGTAGCATACCGATGCCGACAGGCGCCCCTGCAGCTGGGGATGAAGACATGGTTCAAGGCAGCGAACGGAGAGATCGTGGACTACCTCAGCAACCACAAGTCTGGCTACTGTGACTGTGATGGAAGGGACTCATGCGACGGACAGAAGTGCTTCTGTGATCATGGTGGGTTTTATGTCCAGGTCGTGTGGAACCCATAGCTTACCTGTGTATTGATCCCATGGGTATTCCAGGGTACAGTAGGCCCACAGCCCCCTATATTTGTCGTATAAGGCAGCTATATGGATTGGGTGATCAGGCTCACATTCAGGGTGAATCTGAGATTTGAACTCACTGGATCGTAGCACGCCTTGGACCACTGAGCCACCCGTGCCCATTATGTGATTACAATCAGCTTGTGTACACATTATTCACATGGCCCTGGCCCCGTGAAGATCCGTGAAGACCCGTGAAGATCTGGGGTAGAATAGGTCTTCAGCAACCCATGCTTGTCGTAAGAGGTGACTAATGGAATGGGGTGGTCAGGCTCGCTGACTTGGTTGATGCATGTCATCGTATCCCAATTGTGTGGATCGATGCTCATGACATCAATCACTGGTTTGTCTGGACAAGACTCAATTAATTACAGACCGCCGTCATATAGCTGAAATATTGCTGAGTGCGGTGTTATACAACAAACAAACAAACAAACTTGGACCTGGATGTGTTATTGTGACACCAACCCCTGAAGCACCACATGGGGTTTCTAGGTTAGAGTACATCCTGGGTAACCTATGCTTGTCATGTGATGCGATGTAGTGGATTGGATGGTCAGACTTGGGGACTTACGATTACATGTCATCTCACCTTGGCGGCATGGAACATTGTACACATTATCACTAGTTTGTCTGGTCCAGATTCACTTATTCACAGGACACTTTTAATTAGCTGGAATATTTTTGAGTGCGGCTTTAAACAACAAATACACAAACAAACAAACATTTGGACTGATCACAAATTTTATAACCACTGCAGATGATCACCCTGAAATTTAACACGATTCCTTTTTCAGATGGAGCAAATATATTCCCCATTGACAAAAACATACATGAAACAGAAAATCAGTATATAATCAAGTATTGAAGTCACTGTTGAATAAGAAACAATTTGTTTTCCAAATGTGGTTAAGGTTTGATGTTTAGTGATGTTAAGTTGTACTTTTTCCTTGCTTATTTTGCCAACTTCTAGAATGCCAATCAAACAGTCAACGTTTTGTGACGTCTAATGAATCGAATGATTGTCTTGTCATCTGCCCTTTGACCTTCTGTCCTGTAGACTGACATTCTTTGTTGTCAGCTTCTGACACGTGGAGAGAAGATGTCGGTTTCAACGGAGTAAAGAGTCAGCTTCCATTGGTGGACATCACAATCCTCCAGAGTGAGATGGAGCACATTCAAGGGGAGGCAACTCTATCTCTTGGTCCTCTACGCTGCTGGGGAAATGGTATGTTTAGTGGGAGAAAAATAACCTGCATGGTGGACTCAAATAAGGCCACAATAAATTATTTAGTAGATTTTCAACAAAATGTTTAAGAAGTGAGGTGGGAGGCATTTAGAGTTTTGGGAAGGGGGTGTTAAGTAAACTGTTCAAGGAATCTGTTTGGGGAAATGTTGCTGGATGTGATTCAAGTTAATACTTGGTAGGACCCTGTATTTCATGTCTGGCTCAAGGCTGCTGAGTGCACATATAAAGATTACATTTATATTTCAAATGTCGATAAAAAGTGTTTTCTGATTTGTAGGTATTATTGAGTGTTTGATGCTCCTAATTGAATAATACATTTTGAGATACTTATCTCTAACATTAACATTCTGCATTGATGCTAATGCGATACAGCAATATGGCCACTTGTGTGCGTCTGCTTGCAGTGAACCAGCCACTGGACCAAGCCATCACCATCACCCAAGAGAACAGCTACATCCGGCAGCGGCCGTGGGTGCGAGGAGATCTCTACCTCAGCTTCAAGACACACCAGACCACCGCACTGCTCATCTACCAGAACAAAACTGACACCAATGCCAACAGTTTCTTGATCAAGATTGTAGATAGTACGTTCATGATTCCTTCATTCATATTTGTAGGATGCTAAGGTAGTCTAGTTGTTAAAGTGATCGTTTTCATGCAGAAGATTTCATTTCCCACATGGGTACATGGGCCTTTCTGGTGCCCCTCTGAGTTCCGGGGAACATTGCTGAACGTGGTATAAAACCATACTCGCCCAGTGTCCTAGTGATGGACTGCCGGACTGATTGGCTTGGAGTCAGTATACATCTACAGTGAAGTCTCTTTAATCCAACACCCGTTAATCCGACAGTCGGCTTTATTCGACACTAATGATGGGAACCGATTAAATCAGTGCTATTTAGACCCGTTAATCCGACAGTCTCGCACTCCGACTCCGACACACCTAATTTGCAAAGAATTACCGAAATCACTCATTAATCAGTCTCGTAAATCCGACACAGTGATCAGCGTACTCCGTGGTCATCTGCCCGCGAGGATACAGCCCCGTGTTGTGATGCGAGACGAGTCGGCGAGTAGTTGCATATTTCAACGGCTGCAGAGATAAATTTGCTTAACAATAAACAATTACTGCTTTAAATAAACAAAACAGGATTAATCACATGCCTAGATTACCGCAATCTCATAAAATCGGGTACAAGTTCTCACGACCACTGAGGATATCCCATTACAAGTCACGTCAGAACGACCTTTCGCGAACTTTGACCGACCAATGAAAATTACTAACAGGAAGTCAACATTAGCAAGTAAGAAAGCAGCTTTCTTAAGCATTGCGGCACAAGTTTCAAATTGGCGACTTCCATTCCAGACTATGCTTTAAAAAGTATTTTGAATCAGTCATAAATTGTGTTAAACTATCGTGTAGTTGTCCCATTTTCAATCACAAACGTTGATAGTACCTAATTTCATTTATCTGACATACTTGTTAATCCGACATAATCATATGCAACCAACAATGTCGGTTTAATGGGACTTGACTGTACTGTGTCTGAGTGGGGCACCCATGTTAAACTCTGACCTATCTCAGTGGGCTAGCACTGTAAAACTAACATAAGTCCAGGCTAGTAAAGCAGCCTCATATGAACGTCGCTATGTAAATTAAATACTCTTGAACGCTATGTTAAATCCCATTTCACCTCACCTTATGATGAATATCGCATTAATATTGGGGACTCCCTGCTTTCAGCTCACCAGGTGGCTTTCAACTTCTACATCAATGGTCAACACATCTCCCACACCCTCTACACAGCAAGTGCCCTGGACGGCGATGACTGGCACACAGTCGGCATCGAGCGCGACCCCTACAACATGCGACTGACGTTGGATGGGAAGAGACAGCTTGTGGAGCTGCCAGACGCTCTTCAGCAACAGGAGACGCTGTTTAATGGGATGCTTATGGTTGGCGGAATACCAGAAAGGTGGGTGTTATTGTCATGGAAACAGTTACATTTCACTATTGAAATGTTTTGTTTTGGTTTTTTTCTGGACGCTAAATAGCATGTGGTGTCATGAATAAAATGGATTATATTTCATATGTGTCTGATTGATAGAGGCTCACAATGCAGTGTTGCATTCCTAATCAGTGCTAAGCTTCAAAGGTCTCACAGCCAAAACTGTAGGGATATCCACTAGTGGTGGGACGATGCAATGGTGGATAGCGATTTATTTACTTCTCGATACAGGTATTAAACACAGTGGCACATTAAGTCAAAAGATATTGATTCATACCTTAAATGTTTTCTGTATTTATTGTTAAACCAGACACTAATTCGTAGTGAAAAATGGCAGTGAAACGTAAACATTTTTGTCCATTGCACCATACATGACACAGCCAACTGTAAATCGTCAGTGTGCCAGGTATTTTGCAATCCTGTGTATGAAAAAAAAGATGGCTAAGGCACCACAGAGCACATGCAAGTATCATGATACGTATTGTATTGTGAACAAGGTATCGTGATATGTATCGCATCACACAGTTGGTGTATCGTCCCAGCCCTAATATCCACCTATACACCTCGGAAACTGTGGGTCTATGTCTTACATGCCAGCAGATGCATGTGATGAGTGAGTGTTCCATATAAACATAAGCTCATGACAGAACATTTTGTGGGATCACGTGATGGCAGATCATTTTGTGTAAGCACGTAATGGCAGAGCATTTTGTGTTAGTACATGATGGCAGAGCATTTTGTGTAAGCATGTGATAGCAGAGCGATAGCAGAGCATTTTGTGTTAGTACATGATGGCAGAGCATTTTGTGTAAGCATGTGATAGCAGAGCGATAGCAGAGCATTTTGTGTTAGTACATGATGGCAGAGCATTTTGAGGACAGACAGCTTGCTTTTATGTTTCTGAAGTTTTTGGTTTCATGCATATTACAATGATTTCCTTGTGTTGTATTCAGGCTTGCTGAGAAGACAGGGGAGAGAACTCCTGGTTTTACTGGCTGTATTCGAGGTTTTCTGTATAATGGAAAGTTCCAAAACTTAGAGAAAGCTATTGATGCAAGGTAAGCTCTCAAATACATCGTCTCTTAGCAATAGTAAAATAACTAATAAAATTAGTACTTGAAAGTTATTATAACTTAAAGGGATAAAACTTTATTAAAAAATGTATGTTAATAGGCAATAGTCCTATCAGTCATGTATATTTTGTATGCATTTGCAGTATGGGTGGCGTATATAAAGGGTGTGTGTCGTCGTGCTGGCCAAACCCATGTGATAACGGAGGGACGTGTGTCGAGGCCTGGGACTCCTACCAGTGCAAGTGCAAAGAAAAGTGGTCCCATCACGGCCTCAAGTGTGAAGTCGGTAGGTGCAACAGTAGCCACAGAGAGACATCAACAGGACAATGTGATATTGAGGGCTGATCCTTTCTGCCCAGTAATGATCTTAAATGCAAGGACTTCATTTTTTTTTTTTTTTCTGGGTGGTGGGGAGACAGAGAGATAGAATTACACACTCAAAACATATTCATTGGATGTCCATGACAAATGGGTAGGTCCCTTAAAAAAATTATCATCTCTTCCTTGAAGAGAAACAGCCAGCCAGACTGTTCCAAACTGAATCAACGTTTTTCCAAAAAATGTTAATCAGACGCAGTATATAATGAAAGGGATATCCATGTTGAATACAATGTTTATCAAATTTTGGACAGGAAACCTTGTCAAGAACATATTTGTTCATGTATGTTTGGTAAAACAGTTCCCAATCAGACATTTTGTACCCCACTCAAGAAATGCAGTGGGTAAGGTTAGTTAATAGGGGATTGGGTACTCAAGTAGAAAATTTGTCCCACACTTATTAAGGATCCTAATTTTCCTTCCTTTCCTTTCACCTTAAGTGCTGAGGGGCGGTGTGCCAAAGACCTGGGTTCGATTCCCCACATGGGTTCAATGTGCGAAGTCCATTTGTAGTGTTCCCCGATGTGATATTGCTGGAATATTGCTAAATGGGGCATTACACCATACTCACTCACTCTTAATGGTGATTAAAGACTATGAAACATACTGATCACTTATGTGTTTTACAGACATCAACCGTGACTCGGTGACCTTCAGCGGACATGCAGCAGACGACTCCTTCCTCTTCTACAACATGACCTCCCACCCGGAGATCCTGATGGACACCATCATCCTGAGTTTCCGGACATTCCAAACCGACGCCCTGCTCCTGTACGCCCACGACCACCTCAATAACTTCGTGCAGCTCAAGTTGACGGACGGGAACACCATCACCATCACCTTCAACTCCTACAAGAACATCATCAGTGACTCCATCACACTGAAAAATGGTAGGATCGTACTTCATCCCAGTGTTGTGCTTGCTGTCTAGATGTCTTTAAAAGTGCTTGAATTTTTTGAATTCTTGAAAAGGCCTGGAAATGAGATAATGTACCTTTAATATATGCCTTAAATATATCCAAGCAGTCCCTTTTTCAAGTAAATTGCCTAAAAATTAATTTATCTTTTCACAGTTTTCAACATTTGAAATATTATATAATGTTGAAAGTAAACGATTTGTACATAATCTATTTATTGTCTGTAACCTTTTATCCCCTCCCCCGGATTGGAAAAACAGGGGAAAAGCAATCAGCATGTCCGTCGGTCTGTCCTTCATCCGCTTTCCGTTTCTGGAGCAGAACTCTAAACCATTAAATATTTCTAGATGAAACTTGCTATACAGATCAGTCTAGTGGTGAATTGGTGCCTTTTGATGATGTGAAATTTTTATTTTTCTTATTTTTTGTTTCCATGATGACAAGTTTGACTTACGGAAAATGAGGGTAGTGCACATTCCAGAGCAGAATTCCAAAACTGTTGAATATTTATTGAAAAAAGTGCTATACAGATCAGTCTAGTGGTGAACTGGTGCCTTTTCCTGTTTTCTGATATTGCAAAAGTATTGAACAGCATTTAGACTTCACTGAACTGAGGGTATCCAGTGGCAATGAACCAAAAGTGATGTATAAATAGCTCAATTTTCGAATTGCACCAGACCGGGGGGGATATGTCATTTCCTAATGACTCTTGTTTTTAATTATCCGCAACTGGTTATGTGGCAGGGTGGGGGGGAACTTGGGGTATTAAAATGGACCCCATCTGTCTGTGCCATCCAGAGTAGATCTTGAAAACCGTTCAATATTTCTGGTGACTTTTGATAGTTTGGGTTTTTATAAACATCAATTTTGGATTTTCCATGGCAATAACTTTGATTTAGGCTGGAAATGGCGGTAGTGCTTGTTTCCGTAGCAGATCTTGAAAACAGTACAATATTTCTTCACCAAGCTTAGATAAGATAGGTCTAGTGGTGAACTGGAGCCTTTTAATAGTTTGGGATTTTTTTATCATTTATTTTTCGAGTTTCCATGGGAACAACTTTGACTTAGACTGAAAATGTCAGTAGTGCTTGTTTCTGTAGCTGATCAAGAAAACCTATACAATATTTCTTCACCAAACTCAGATAGGTCTAGTGGTAAACTGGTGCTTTTGGATTGTGCCATGCCATGAATTTTGTGACTGAAATTCAGTACACACCCTGATATACAAAGAGGAAAGCAACATATTTTTAGCTGATGGAAACCTGACGTTGTTTTTCCAGAGATGTTGAATGACGGCCAGTGGCAACAAGTGATTGCAGAACATTTCTACAACTTCACCCGGCTACATGTACACAGCGAGACCAAGGTCATCCGGGTGGAACGCTACAGACTTGACAAATATGCACGTCTGCCATTTGACAGAACAGAGAAAGGTTTGTGACACCAGTGCCGTAGCCAGTCGGGGGGAGTTGCTCCCCTAGATTTCGTATAGAAAACAGTTTTATTTGAATCAAGTTGGGGACAAGTGATACTTGCCCCCCTTCCCCAAAAAGTTAACTATGGCCTTGGACACACAACAGAGACAACAAGATCAAATTGGAAAAGTAAATTTTTTAAATTTACAAATTTAAACTTATGTCTAATGATTTTGATGTTGTCATGATGGATGAAATGTTTACGTTGTATTTGTTTCTTGTAATAAATGGTGACTGGTTGGTGTTGTGGCATTACGTCAATAATACTTGTATGAATGGTACTTGGATGATACATGAAGGATGTGCTCTCAACTTTTGATAAGGATAATAAGATACGTCATTCTATTTAAATATAAACTTGACATGAAAATCATTTTTGTGTATCATGGAAAGATAAAAAAATATCCCTTCCAAAACTTGAGTGGTATACATGGATGGAACATGGATGATGTACACAATATTTCTTTGAATGATGATGGTGATAATACTTCCATGGTACTGAGAGAATACGAGGAGTGTAAACATATACAGAACATCCAATCCATGGTTTGACTTTACTGTCAGACCCGTGTAGGTCTGGGGTAGAATAGGTCTTCAGCAACCCATACTTGCAGGAAAAGGTGACTATGCTTGTCGTAAAAGGCGACTAATTGGATCGGTTGGTCAGGCTCGCTGACTTGGTTGATGCATGTCATTGTATCCCAATGGCGTGGGTCGATGCTTATGATGTCAATCACTGGATTGTCACTGGATTGTCTGGTCCACACTATATTATTTACAGACCGCTGTCATGTGACTGGAATATTGCTGAGTGAGGCATTAAACAACAAACAAACAAAAACCTTACTGTCACTACTATCAGGGATGTGTCACTGTTGGTTTATTCAAGATATCTCGATTTTCAGAGGATGTTTTAATGAGCCGCCCAATGGTCGAACCTGCCCCCTTTGTCAACCTGTACGTGGGCGGTGTCATGGACGGCGTGACCTTCATCCCGTCCATCGAGGGATGCATCCGGGGACTCAAGATTGCTGACACCATCATCAACTTGGGAGCGAAGGCTCGCGAGAGGGGAAATTCTTCTGGTACGTCGAGACTTCGTACAAGAACAACATCATCCATTTCAAAACATTGACATCTGTGGAGAAACATTGGAAATTTTGGAAGTTTGATCAATATTTATGTTTTAACATTCAGTGCCATTCAGAGAAATATTTTACTATTTTATTTACTTGTTTGAAAATGAAGGTCCAGCTGTGCTTATGGCTTTGTCGTCTTTCCATCTGTCCATTTATTAACTTGTTCTCTGAAATCCTGAGGATGTCGAGCATCTTAATCACACTGAAATTTGTTCATGGCATTGAAATAGAAATTACATTAATATGAGATTCAGATTAGCTCATACAAGTAAATTAAAAAAATATTTCTGAGGTATCTATTCATTTGATTGAATTTATGGCTGTATTTTGATTCCATTTATTTTTTTGGTCGCTTTATATGTTTGTTACTGTAGTTGTTTGTTTGTTTCAGCTCTGTATCCTGAGTGTGAAGCTGGTTGTTATGAGAAGACCTGTTTCGAGGGCTATTGTGACGAGCACTGGAAGGACGCGGAGTTTAACTGTGACTGCAGTGAGACTCAGTACACAGGAACACACTGCGAGCTGGGTGAGTGTCTCCTCTCTCAACAATAATGTGCACCAATAGATTCCTCGATATTCCTACACTCCTGAGTTTCTAGGACTGCAGTCCTGCTTCATGTACATGTTGTTAAACATATGGTGTCTCCATAGGCAAGTGACTTTCAATTTGGTAGGTAGTTAATTTGGTAGGAGGAGATGGTTATTTGACTGTTTACCTTCTAACGCCTCACATGCTGCTTAAGTTGTATACTCCCCAGGGAGCTGAGAAAGAAAATCGAACGCTCACTGATCCAGTGACCGGAGTGATAATAAGATTTATTATGGTCTAAGCGCACTTGAAAAAATATAAATTGGAAAGTGCACTATATACATTCATAATACAGTACAATATAAGGCAATGCAATGCAATTCCAGTGCAGGGTAGGTTTTACATTCCTCTTTGCTTGTCAACTAATATAGGCTGAGGTGCCCACAATGAGAGGGCAACCCTGGGTTGACCAACTGTCTGGTGAGGCCTGGTTGAATTGCTGTTGCCATGCTGTTAAAATTAGGTGGCCATGTATTGATACAAACCGATACAACTGTATGGTGAAAATGTAAAATTGTATGCACATAGATTGTAGGATACTAGTTTCTGTATGTATACTCAAGAGCGGAGGTCTCTAACCAATGTCTTATCATTTGACTAAAATGTGTAGAATGTGTGTTTTTGTTGGGATATTCATTTCCTTTGATTATGGAAGTGTTTCTTATTTTTTCAAATGTCAAGTTTTTAGGTGTGGCACAAAGTGTATTGTTGTAGCCCTAACCCTAAGACTATTAGTACCACCTTTGTGGTGTATTGCATAGAGCATCCTTCCAGAGAGAGGAAGGTTGGTGGATCAATCCCCGAAGGGATGTTAAAAGATTGTACTTGGTACTCCAGCTGGCGAAAACATTAGGGGGATAAAACTGGTCAGCTTGAAGTCTGTGGAGTCTAAGAGGTACACTGTGTCTGAGCGAGGTATCCATGTTAAACTGTAGCATGGTACCTCAGCGTGCTTGCACTAGTACAAGCAGCCACATACACACACATGGATGCTATATAAGTAAAGTTTTTGAATGTGACGTTAAACCCTATTTCACCTCACACTATTGACCATCCTAATACTACTGCTTAGATACATAAAATAACACTCTCTGCAAGGTTTGTGGCGCATATGTTAAGATATACAAAGGATGAGACACTGTTTTACTGTGAAACTTGCGCATAAGAAGGAAATAAATCTCTGTACCCAACTGTGCGGCCCTTGAGGTGCATATATTGCTGGGGAAAGGATGGAGCAGGGTGACATCCAACAGATGACATCTATAACTTGTCTGCTGCTGAGAGGGTATTAGGTCAGTTGGACAGGGTGTCCGAGCTGGGATCAAAAGGTCCCTGTTTTGAGTCCCATCCCTTTAAGTTTGTAAGAATATGGCATACTTTTGTTTTTGAATGGAAACATTCAAGTTGACTTATTTCTGGCAGGAAGGGATGTGGTTTCAGTGATAAGCAGTGCTTTAATTCTTCTGAACTTGCACATGATTTTCAGAGCCCTGTGCAGGAGTTGCAGGAAACACCGTCGTGCAGTACGGATTCACATTAGAGGAAGCCAATCAGCATACTCGCCAAGAGCAAGTGTCCTTGACCTTCAAGACAATGGCAAGAAGGAATAGTGATGCTCATCAGCAGGCGTTGGGCATGATCTTTGTGCAGAGCTCCGAGTAAGATATAACTGTGTCATCTTAACGTTTCTTACCTAGGTAACAGAATGTGACGTCATCCCACAGATGACATCGCTACCTTATCAGCTAGCTGACGATGGGGTTAACCTCTTTGTCATTTGGACAAGGTGTCCAACCTCAGTTCTGAATGGCATGAACTCCTTCGAAGGATTAGGAATTTTTATGCCCGCTACACTGGCACCCTACGTGGGGCTGAGCATGTTCATATCAAATTTGAGCAAAATAAGTCTCAGTGCCCTCGTGAACATGTAGCAGGGTGTGGAGTTTTCCCATGGATGAATCCCTTAACTTGAAGTTTGCCAGAATTTGACCATTGCCACACTTTGTTTTTGAAACATGCTTGAACATATGTGGCTGGTCTGGCAGTGGAGATTGTTTATGGAAGAAGTACATTAATGTCACAAGTATGAAGGTGTGTAGTATAGTGAATTCACTCTCAAGAGATTTTATAGAGTTTTCTTATCACAATTTATTTCTGTTCCAGGACGAAGGATTACGTTTTGGTGTGGTATGAACCAGGCTCCTCACAAAGAGGATCCATCGTCATAGAAACCAACCAGGCAGTTGGAGTGTGTACGTATAAATACCCTGCAATATTCAACACCTCTGCATTTAAATATTCGTTAAGGATTTTGACATGGAAGTAAGTGAAAAGCTGCTAGGACAAGTTAAATGAGAATTGGATGCTACTCTGGTTGTCTGGTAGCCTTTTCATAGCTTGCCACTGAATTTACTCTTTCTAAAGAATCGAAAAGCTTCATGAAGCTCATGTACGGGTTTAAGTTCTTTCCATCACAAAAACAACATTTTGGAATACTAGTGTAGCTTAATTATCTTACAGCAGTAAAATGTGAAACTGGGCAACTGTGAGTGAGTGAGTATGGTTTTACGCCGCTTTTAGCAATATTCCAGCAATATCACGACGGGGGACACCAGAAATGGGCTTCACACATTGTACCCATGTCAGGAATTGAACCTGGGTCTTCGGCGTGATGAGTGAACGCTTTAACCACTAGGCTACCCGACCGCCCCAGGAGTATTAATGACAATGGACAATCTATCACCGACTTGAAACAGTGCTATTGAAAATCATTGTCAAAGAATCTGTAAGATATATATAAAGAACACCCACAATTGGTAGACTCATTGTTGCAATACCCAAAGCAATGACAGATAAACTATAGTCGTACCAAAAGAATCAGGTGTTCTCTTTCTTCTTTTTGTCCCCCGCCGCGCGAAAGCGCGAAGCGGGGGATATAGTATTCACGACCATCCGTCCGTCCGTACGTACCAGAACTAAACACCGGATTGTCTTCATATTTGGAACTATGGTGTATATACAGACTCCGCAGACACCAGTCGGTTTTGGTGACCTTGACCCCATTTTCAAGGTCACAGCAGGCACATCTGCTTTTGGAGTTGGAAAACGGTGTTGCCGCGATATCTCAAGAACTAATCTCTGGATTGTCTTCCTATTTGGTACTAGGGTGTATATACGGACTCCGCAGACACCAGTCGGTTTTGGTGACCTTGAGCCCATTTTCAAGGTCACAGCAGGTAAATCTGCTTTTGGAGTTGGAAAACGGTGTTGCTGCGATATCTCAAGAACTAAATACTGGATTGTCTTCATATTTGGAACTATGGTGTATATACAGACTCCGCAGACACCAGTCGGTTTTGGTGACCTTGATCCCATTTTCAAGGTCACAGCAGGTAAATCTGCTTTTGGAGTTGGAAAACGGTGTTGCTGCGATATCTCAAGAACTAATCGCTGGATTGTCTTCATATTTGGTATTTTGGTGTATATACAGGCGGGGGACATTTCCTCACCTCTGTGACAAATACTTGTTCTAACTAAAATGGATAGAATTATCATAAAAATACCTGTATGTTATCAGACATCATTGGAGCACTGTGACTGGATAGCAGCCCAATGTCCCTAATGACGGGCTGCTCTCTGTTATATTGATATATGACGTCATTGGCGTCACGTTTGTTGTATGATGTTCTATGACGTTGCTGTTTGTAAGTCAGTGACCTCCATTGTGAGGTTTCTAATGCAGACACTAAACTTATGCTACCGTTTGTACCGTTCATTTTGGGATTAGATACAACTCCTATTGATTTTGAGCTATAATAATGCTAACTATTGTTTGATTTTTCAGGGCATTATCATTTGCAGAAGTCCTTGGTGTGTTCAACTACCCCCCTTTGTCGGGCAGTCAATGGCAGACCTCAAGCTTCTGCAAATGATAATTCTCTGAAAAATAATGCTACCCTTATATGAGTGGTACTTTTCCAACAAAAACATGGAATATTGTTTTATGACAGTTCACTTACTGTTTATTGCAAAGATGAATGTGAGTGGTACAAAATTCTTGAATCTATGCCGTATATGCTTCGTCAGATCGCTGCACAGTCTGACAGACTGAGATGAACATCTAATGATGAATTTTGACCTTGTGTTCAGATCGGATGAAGGTTTCCGGAAACTTTGCTAATGGCGAACCCCACAGGATGACCTACAAACGAAGTGGTCCCGAAACGGTTTTGACCGTAAGTATAAAAAAAATCTTGTTGTCCTGTTACAGGTATTCCTTGGGAGAATGTTTGTTTATTGATTTTTTTCTTGAAATAATAAAATGCTTCCCACTTTGATTCCATCTTAAAGTTAATACCTTAATGCATGGTAAAACAATAAATACTTGGTTTGACTAAAGTGTTTTAATCATGATTTTTATTTGGTTGCATGATCTTGGAGAATAGATATACAAGTATATATGGTGATGATTTCTGAAGAGATATATATTATTAGAAAATCATAGTTGTAGGATAGAGATGATGTATCGATAACCTTTTATCCTGTATCATAGCTCGGTATCCATCATATATGCTTGTCAGGACACCCCATCTTCCTGCATGAATCATGATCCATATCCGTTTCATATTCATTCCCATTTTTAGTTTTGCTGTCGGGGAAAAAATCCCTCTGACGGCCATGCTTGATTGAAGTCTATTTGAAATTTTTAATGCTTCAGTAAAATGAAAGTGAAAGTGTTTTCTTTTGATCAATGTTGGGCTTGTTTGTGAATTTAAGTATGTATGTTTTCCAGCTTCTGTAACAGTTTTGCTCCAAATGCAAATTTTCAGTAGTAAGGAAATTGTGCTAAAAACGATTTCAAAAAAAGTTGTATATTTTAACACTGCACAAATTGATAACTTAATGGTCAAAATTTCTTGCTGTTTACTAGGTTTACTTTTTTGTGTGTTTGATGAACACCCAAGTCAAACACTCATTGGTGTTTGATCAAAACATAGGAATAAATACTGGGGACAGTTTGGTGAAGTGTGTGATGTATTTGGTGTGGCAGATTGAAAATGCTTCACACTGGCAAGAATTCCAAAGAATGTCCATATTTAGATTTTAGAATATTTAAGAACCAACATCATTCATTTTCATTCATAAACATCAACACATGTTTCCCACCTCTGGTCAAAACCCTTGTACTAAATATTGCTCTTGTTTATACACCCAAATCTGCTCGTTCCTCGTTTGAAAACCCAGAACCTCTCTCTCATTTAAACTCCCAAATCCACTCTCTCCTCGTTTGTACACCCATATAGAATTCCCCTTAATAGACTGCTGGAATATTTCCCCCGTATCTTACCAACATGTTACCCAGTATTTTTTTAACTTTGCTTTGCTAACACAACAGGTGACACCTCTAGACAAATATGGAATTGAAATAGTAAGTACTGATGAGTTATGTCATATATTCATATTGCTATTTGTGCCGACACTGCTGTCAACAAGGGGTCCACGTTTGCTTGTTCATGAATGCAATATGGTCGCTTCTCGGAGGTGGGTTCTTTATGGGCTGACGAACCCACAATGTCTTCAAAGATGACACATCTGCTTGTTCAATTTTATCTATCCCGAAATGTTGCCCCACTTCTAATCTTAACTCCGTACAAATCCTGCTTTTTTATCTTACCTTCAGCTGTTCTAAGCAGTTACTGAAATCTGTTGGAGGAAAATAATATTATTGACTTTTTCCATTATTTGTTGCTAAATTTTAAGATTTATTAAACTGAAATTTAGGATCTAAATTGATTTATTATTTATTATGTCATCATTTACCACAAATTCAAAAATATTTCATCTATTATTTCAAGGAATATGAATCATCAGTTCAAGATGATTTGAAAGTCAGATTTTTAAATTTCACCTCGCCAAAGGACACGTTCATGTGGGGCTGATAGTTTTGTGCCTTGTGGTTTTTTTTAGGGTTATGAGCAAAAGTGTTAACTATGAGTCAATGTATGCAGTGCACAATGTAGCTGTGTGTGTACACGCCCCTTCGTCCCTCACTGATGTCTTTACCCAAAATTCTTGCTGTCTTCGCTTACCTCCCCTGCACAACACACTCTCCCTGCTGCCACGGTCAGAGATGTCTAGTGCTGCTCTCTGTCACAGATACTTGTGAATGTTCAAATGAATAATCAAATAAATAGTCAGGACCAGTGATATGATTCCACAAACTGGAAAGGCTAGATGTAGAATTAAATGTTTCTCCGACAAGTAAGAAATTGTGCTCACCTAAACCTAAGTTTGAGTGAGTTTATGTTGTGTGTTTTGTGACCATCCATCCACTTGTAATCGTTATCATTTTCATCATCATCTCTGAAAAGCCCTGTAAAAATGAAACGTATGATCCCAGCAATGATGTCACTTCAGAATTTTTATCTGACTTTAAAATGGCCACCATGGCAGCCATCTTGACAATTATATCCTTTTGGTGCATTACATTTTTGCCTGTGTCGTTGTTATGAAGTAAGTTCTTTGATGTGGCATGTTTTGATTTGTTACCCTGCTATGGCCCATCAGTAACAAATATCCATGTTGTTTTGTTCTTTTCACTCTCCTGTTATCTTCTAGAGATTTTGTGTTGGAAACATTTTATAAAAATTCAGATGAGCTAGAGAGCCTTGTGGCTGTACTCCTTTTCAAAATTGCGCAAAATGTCGAAATATTTTTATAGTTACTGATCAGGAAAAAATTAAATGAGGAATTAATCTATCTGGTATAATATGTAAATTCAGCAACTACCTATGTGGCAAAAATTACTAAATATACCCCTTCTCCAGATAATATATTTCAGAAATAACTAAACAGATACTAAAATTCATTGAAAAATTTGAAAGCCTTTTTTTTTGTACCATTATGACGAAAAAGGTGGCACAGTCTTTAAATGGTATGCTGATGCCTGAGAAACACTTTTTGTGGTCTAATTAACTATATCTAAACCCAAAGTGTCAGACAGAACAACAGCACACATACTTTTCCTGTTGTTGTTTGAACAACATTTTATCTTTTGATAAAAAACAAGCCTATGTCCAGTTATATCTGATTCAATAATTCATACTGAAATGTAAACTAATCTTCCATGGCAGTTAAGAAACAATGGTTGCACCAATCTGTAATAATCTGTAGAGTAAGATATTCTTTAATGAGTATTCATCACAAACTATTGAGCAACATGCATCCCCAGCTACTCATCCTAGTTTATCATGTAGACAGTAGTTTAGTTAAGTGCTTCAGCCTTATCACGAGTATTAACACTTCTGACAGTGTTCTGGTGCTTTCTATCTTATATCAATGGGACAAAATTGAAATTTTTGCGTAAATATTTTGCATGTTTGTAATAGGTTTTTATCGCTTTGTAATACGTAACAGTCAGACTCCTGAAGGGGAAATAATTCCATGTTGTATTAATATTCAAAAGTTGGTTTATATATGGCAGAAAACAGGTACTGTTATGTATATACAAAGTCAAGTTAATTTTGTTGAAACCTTAAGTTAGAAATCAACTCATTTGCAGCACATAGATTATAAAGAAAGCATTCGGACACTGTGTAATCCATGAACAATTGTGATAGGGCATAGTACTTTGAATTGCTGTGCCATCTTGTATGAGGTTGAATCTGATTGGGCAATAGTGCATCTCTGCTGCAGATCTGACTGGCTGAGCTTCTTTACTAATAACCAGTGTATGAGATGTAGGCATACAAGGGATCAAATACCCCTTCACCCTGAAGATGTTTCCATGGTGATTGTGGGCCCTGTTCCCTGTGCTATGGTCCACTATGACAGTCGATGGTTGCTCTATAGGATGGTGTGGGTGACACCCAACATCCTGGATTGTTCATGCTGGCAACTTGGGATCCATCTTGGTTTTTACAAGGTGCTGTGAGGTAGCTGTAATATTGCTGACTCCAGCATAAAATAACTCATATTCACTGATCATCACGTTGCGTCCCACTATAAGCTGGGAGTTTGGTAGCCCATTGGGTAAGTGTTCGCTCATGTTGAAGTCCTGGGTTTGATTCCCAGTACAATGTGTTAAGTTAAGCCCATGGAATCCCCTACTTGATATGGCGGAACACTGCTAAAACGGAGCAAAAACTACCTACTCACGCTACCAGCTTATGTTATAGTCTCATGTGGGGAATAATTTCGGGATCTGGTGGCGTAGTGGTGTGTTCATCATAGCAATTTTCAGTGGTTAGGCTGTGTGTATGTAGATTTGGTGGAGGTTTTTCTGTAGACAGATTCGTTGGCTGTTTGGGTCAGTGTCCCGTCACAGTGTCAGTACCCAGGTCCTGTGCACTGAACCAATGAAACCTACTGGCTCTGTAGCTCTGACCATAGGGCTGTAGTCACAGTTAAACACAGTTGGGTATCCTCCCAAATCAGTTTACAAAAGCGTTTTTTGACATTATGTAGATAAGCCATTTCTGCAAATAATGTGATGACATCAGTTTCAGACGAATTCTGCAGTAAATTAACATTATTCTGCGCATTCACACGAACATCTGTGGCTAAAATGACAAAGTTCAGTGGTAAATACTGTACTAAAATCAACCATTTCCCCCTAGAGTATTTATGCAAACTCATTTTTTTTCTTAAAGATCTCTTGCATTTAGACATTTCAAGATATAAAAGTTTCAAAATAGATGTGTATAATGTATTATATTTATTTATGTTTAGAGTAAACTTACTTAATATTATTTATGTGGTCCCAATACCACAAGAGCATTTAAAAGTGAGAATGATATATTTCAAATTTTGTTTGTTTGTAGGATTCATATTTTGTATGTTGGAATCACATGTTAAATATTTGGGCATTTTCTGAAAATCTTTCTGCACTTGGGAATCGCAGAATTTGTCTGGGACTGACATATTGTCTATGTTGAAACATAGGACTTATAGATTGCTGAGATTGTTTGTGGAAGCAAGTGCGCTACAGAGCCCGTATGTCTCAAGAAATAGGATGTTATCTATGCAACTGGGTACATGACAGTGATGCTGGGACTGACTTCAAACATGGACAATTCTTTTGTAGCGGTGGCTGGTTCAATAGGATGGTTTTGGTTTTGTGTTTGTTTATTTTCATTATTAATTTCTTAGAGTTGGTGGAGTTATTGAGGTATTTTGTATTTTTATCTTACAAATACATTTATGAATAATATTTGAGATACGGCAATTCATACATATTATTAAAAAACGCCAAAAAACAGAATCTGTTTTTACAATATTTTCTTCTTAAATCTTTCTTTATTGTTCTGTAAGTTCATTTCACTAATACGTTTTCTGAGTGTTTAAGTTTTGGCCACTCTCAGAATAATGAAAAGTGCAATCAAGGCATTAAATGGTACTTTTTATTTCAGATTGATGGCGAGAGAAATGCTAAGTTTGATTTCCCAGACTTCAATTTGGATAAAATCGACACAATTTACATAGGAGGAGTAGTCGACGCTGGAGACCTGTCACCTGTCAGTAACAGACTTGTCAATTTCACCGGCACCATCTCAAGTAAGAGATTCCACATGACCAATATCCATGGCGCCTTGTCATGTACACTTGGGTCCAAGCCCTGTAGCATAGTGTATCGGACTGTCTTCGAGCGTTAAACTACCCCCTATTTTAGCTGGTTGAGTAAAACAGGTCGTCTCGTGGTTGACAGCTGCAATGATTATTAGGATCAGTCTTGCATGGATGCTACTTTGGTGGCGCCACCTGGAGGAATGACCCTTCAGTCATCATTATATTTTTCTTCAATCATTTTAATTTAAGAAATAAAAGATGAGTGGGAGTTGTTTATCATACCATTAAACACTGTAGGGAGAATAAACCATGAGGGGCGCAGCATATTTTCACAATCCTCATGTCGATTGTCTGTACCTTTTCTCCTAAAACTATTAGTCATATCTCTCCCTCTTTTGTATGCTATCATTTGGCCACTGCATTTATCTGCATAGCCCAGCTACATCTTTGGGGAACAATGTATTAGACACTTCCCTAAAGTAAATAACGTATAGCGCATATTCAAATCTCCAGAAATGACATCATGATAGAACAATGTTTGATCATGAAATAAACCATGCCTGGCTCTTCATTGTTCTTTGCAAATTGTCCCGTAGCTATCTTTTTTGTGTGTATACAACTCATTTTGACTCTTTGCAAGTGTTATTATTCAATTCTCCATGCTTTTTGCAACTTAAGGCAGGGGATTCCGGGTTAGCATTGGTCCACAGCAACCTACACTTGTCATAAGAGGTGATCAAATAGACCAGGTGATCAAGGATGGTGACATAGTTGATAGCGTGTCATGGTACCTCATAATAGTTGCTTATAATATCGATCACTTGATTGTCTGGTGCAGACTGTATTATTTACAGGCCACAATCATACGGCTGGGATATTGCTGAGTGCGGCATTAAACAAAAATGTTTATATATTTTCTTATTCTCATTGGTAAAAGAAACCAAGCCTGATTGTCCCTTGTTGCAGATGTGGTGTTCAAGCCAAGGTTTGATGGAGCTGAGAAGGTGGTTCCCCTGAAGGCAATGCTGAACCCCCAGGACGGGGGCGTGACGGTGCTGGGGGACCCAGTACAGCAGTGCTCCATGTCCCGCCTCTCCCAGGTCTACGTCACCCCCACCCCAGCCATCACTCAGGCGACCGTTGAGCCATATGAGGTACTGTTGCAGCAAGAGCAATCACCCTGCATTATCTTGAGGGGAATCACATTAACACATGTTGACTTTTCCATGGCAACTTACAAAATCAGAGGTCAGGTGACTTAGTTGACAGCATGTGTCAACCTACCCCAACAACATCGATAATTGCTCATAATATCAATCACTGGATTGTCTGGTCCAGACTTGATTATTTACAGGCCACTGTCATATAGCTGGAATATTGCTGAGTGTGGCATTAAACAACAAACATACACACGCCCACCATCACTAAAGCTACAGTCATGCCATATGAGGTACTGTAATTGCAGGAACAGTTACCCTGGATCAGTCTTGAGGGAAACCCATTTATGTAGACTACTCCACTTTTGATAGGGATAATCAGATATACTGAAATGTACACTTGACATGTGAGAATCGGTTTTGTGTATCATGGAAAGATAAACAAATATCAAAAGTTGATATCGACACAAAGTAAAGTAAATTAGGTCCCCAGAACACCATCAGGGTGTTTGGGTAGCCTAGTGGTTTAAGCATTTGCTCGTCACGTCGTAGACCCAGGTTCGATTCCCCACGTGAGTAGAATGTGTGAAGCCCATTTTTAGTGTCCCCCGCCGTGATATTGCTGGAAAAATGCTTAAAGCAGCGTAAAACCATACTCACTCACTCCTGAACCCCATTTTTACCACCCCTTTGGGAACCTGAGGAAGAATGGGTCCCCAGTACCCCATGCTTGTCACAAGAGCTGACTTAGTGAAGGAGGTGGCTATATTAATGTGTGATGTGTCATGCTGTCTTCCCTGGTTTGTCTGGGTCAAATGGAATTTTGTGCAGGCTGCCATGATTGCTGTGTCATTGCTGACTGAAATTAAGCAACAGTCCCCCTCCTGTGACCTCCTGACAGAACTAGACCGTGTTAACTGTTTGTGACATGTTGCAGACCCTCACTATGCCTCCATGGGATGTGGGGAGAGCAAGCATGGACATTATCGGCAGGCGCCCTGGCGTCACTACAAAGCCAGTGACAACTACAACAACATCTCCACCCCTCACCAACCTCACTGCGCCAGTCATACAGGGGGGCATGGCAGACGATCTCACAGTTGGTAAGATGTCTACAAGGACTTGTCCACCTGGTTTTCAAGGAGATTTTAGATAGTAAATACTCCATGCTAAAAGTTTTAAACAGCCTATGACATGACAAGGTTTAGAACAACCTGTGCCCAAAGCAATCTTTGTATTACGACTGTTTCACATATGTTAAAGTATTGGAGTTACGATCTTCTAAATGCTAAGATTGTAGGACATGCCCTTGACCATACATTTGTTACAGTACCTCATGAAGTAGATAGATTTAGTTATTTAAGTATTGTCAAAAGAACCTGCAAATATATTCTGTGTCAGATGTTTCCTGTTTTGCATGATAGGAAATTCAGTCAGAATTTATGATATCAACATTCATCAAAACATTATGTGTTGAACATGTGATAAAGAATTTCAATAAAATTATTGACCATGCTCCGTTCTAAGCTGTTGCAGTGTCCATCATCGCGGCCCTCCTCATCGTGGCAGTCATCATCGCCTTCCTGCTGTGCCGCCAAAGGAAGCGACAGGAGTACGACATCAAGAAGGAGCATGATTTTGAGATGAAACAACCCTTGAATCACAACCACTTCACTCAGAGTCCCGTCCCTGCAGACCATCTGGCCAAACTGGACGAGTTCAGTATGGTGTCGGCCACGCTCGGGCCAAGACGTATGTAGCTGCTTTGTGGAAATCTTTACCGTATTGTTAGACTTAGAGAAAATGTTCTATATGTACAATGAACCCATATTAACAGATAAACAATTTATGGGTATGGAGTTATCTCCCCTTGAATATATTTAAACATTCCCAGTGGTAAACCCATGATTGTTGGTGTGAATCCCGGTTTGCCACGATTATGTTTCTATGATTGACAGCACAATACCAGTGCTCATGGGTTTCACTTAAGTGGTAAACGTCTGAGACCTGCATCCCTTCGGGCTTTCCTCCCACATTCGGCTGACACTCCATGATATTACTTGAATTCCCATCTCACGCACTCACTCTTCTCTCATTCCAGCTGCTAAACGTGTACCACCTCCAGAAGTTCCCAACCGGTTCAGCCAGGGCAGTTTTGTAAGTATGGCAGTGCATCATGTTCCCCATCGCTAACTTCTGTTTGTTAAGAAGGTTCAACTAACTGTTTTCCTGTTCTGAAAGACATCTTACGGTTCCGTTTATCCCTAATATTCCCAACTGTTGGCATGTTGCTTGAAGTTGATTCTGACTTTTATCAATATTTGTTAAAAATATTTACGTCTTCCTCTGTGGACTGAGTTCAATTCCATATCCTTTGACTCATGGGTTTGTGAGAAACAAATATCTGTTCTGACTTAATGAATGTCAGATTTACCTGATTGCAAATTTGAAGGATCCGCCGAATGGTGGGTGGCAGAAGTTTGGGGTCATGAGTTGATTGTGTTACTGGCAATCTGCTTGTCACAAGTTGATCGTGGTACTGGCAATCTGCTTGTCATGAGTTGATTGTGGTACTGGCAATCTGCTTGTCATGAGTTGATTGTGGTACTGGCAATCTGCTTGCCACAAGTTGAGCATAGTACTGGCAATCTGCTTGTCACAAGATGAGCATGGTACTGGCAATCTGCTTGTCACAAGATGAGCATGGTACTGGCAATCTTCTTGTCACAAGATGAGCATGGTACCGGCAATCTGCTTGTCACAAGTTGACCATGGTACTGGCAGTCTGCTTGCCACAAGTTGAGCATAGTACTGGCAATCTGCTTGTCACAAGATGAGCATGGTACTGGCAATCTGCTTGTCATGAGTTGATTGTGGTACTGGCAATATGCTTGCCACAAGTTGAGCATAGTACTGGCAATCTGCTTGTCACAAGATGAGCATGGTACTGGCAATCTGCTTGTCACAAGATGAGCATGGTACTGGCAATCTGCTTGTCATGAGTTGATCGTGGTACTGGCAATCTGCTTGCCACAAGTTGAGCATAGTACTGGCAATCTGCTTGCCACAAGTTGAGCATAGTACTGGCAATCTGCTTGCCAGAGTTAGTTGAGGGCTGCCAATCTGCCTGTCCCCTGCGTTTCCCTCTCCCCTCCTTGCATGTCTTTATGTAATCCCCATCCTCTTTCTCAGCCTCTTATGGACGAGGAATTTCCCAACGTCATCTACAACCGCAAGAAGAAACGTCCGGCATCATCCATCTCCGAGGTCCTGGAGGAGATGGAGAGGAGACAAAAGGCTAAAGGTATATCAGTGGTGTGGTGGTGGAGGTCTGAATGTCATCACACCGCCTGCATACAGTCAATCTGTGACACTTGTATTCAGTCTAGTATTCTCTCAACATGGTAGATCTTTCGTGAATGTTATCAATACTCCACTTTGATATCAAATAATTTACTTCGCTCGTATAGTTTTTAGAATATTAGGTTTCTGCATATCCTTCACTGATTGTTTTTCTCAAAGAAAAATATCTGATGAATGTATCTCCTATTTAGTTAGTATGTAGTGAGATAAACTGTTCAAGCAGCAGCATTAAACTCAACTAACTCACTCACTCACTCATCTTTTGTTTTACTCTGTATGTAACCATGGTAACCTCACCACTTAATGATTTAGAACCTAATTCACCAGTTTTAAGTTCACGCACGTTCCTTGTCATGGTGCATCTTGGGAAAGGATCATTGTTCACGACAATTCGTAACCTTCATCAACACTCAGGAATTTGTCTGCAGTACTCCCACCATGCTTGTTCTGAGATGAGATTGGACCGATTCAGCCACTGGTTGTCTGTAATATCATGCACATTCAATTTAACGGCACTGCTCACCATGCATTGTGTGTGACGTACTGGCTGTGTCAGTCATGGTATGTGATCCTACACTAAAGTAGCCTGGTTTGCTGTGCAGAGTTGTGCCCCTTAGGCCTGCTAGAAATTATGATCGTAGGTTCGAATTCCAGATTTGTCCTGATTCACCAAAGTGGTAAATATCTAAGACCTGCATCATTTCAATTGGAATTTTAACTGATTGTAGTATATTTGATTTTGCTGAACCTTTAATATTCAAATGGTAAGTATGAGAAACAACAGAAGCAAACACCCAGAGCCAAAGTAATCTTACTGAAGTCCAGGTAAATTCTGCCTGACTCAGACCCAAGTATTTGTATCTAGGTAGGCACGGGTGGCCCAGTTGTCTAAGGCACTGCAATTAGCTGTGCAGAGTTGCGTCCCTTGGGCATGCAGGAAACTGCATCACTTCAGGCTTTCCGCCCATATTTGGCTGATACGCTGTGATATCACTGGAATACTGTTCAAACAGTGTTAAATCCAACTCACTCACTCACCCAAGTACATGATAATATCCTGAGAGACTTTAAATGACACCATGTCCTCTGATTGTGGATTCAGTTTTGAAATAGTGTCAAGCCCAACCCACCAGTTAAAGCAGATGAGACATATCAGAAACAAATACAATCAAACATTCAGTACCAAACTCATCTTTTTGAGCAGTTAGGTCCTCTAGATCCGCCATGGACCCGTTGTGGATGTGAATCCTCATGGACATCCTGCCCTGCAACCTTGATGCCATATTAATCATTGCTTTGTTGACATTTGTAGACCAGGGATTGGATCCAGACGCAGAATCCCCGGTCAAATTGGAAAACCGTAACCATGGCGAAGGGGAACTAGACTGGGACCCCACCGCTGATACGACCCCACTGACCTGTGTAAGTATACCTCCCCAAGCAGGTAATGTCAAGGTCGTCTCCCTGCTTCCGTGCATTGTAGTGGTAGATGTGACACTTGTAGTAGTCTGTCCTGAACTTCTCAATGCAGTCAGGTTCAATGTCTGAAGCTTATCCACAAACATTAATCTGGAACAGAGAATTGTCATTTTTGAATGTGTGTTATTGGTGACTTATCATAAAACTTTGAATTTCTTTCCACTTATTTATCTAACAATACTAATTCAGTAAATTGAAGTTATGAAAAATACCAAAAATACCATCATTAAAAATTTAACTGCACAATTAAGCTAAGCTTTAAGCTGGTTTTCTGAATCTTTTATCTGACCTCTGATCTGTGAGTGAACTTGACCTTTTTAAAAAAACAAAAAGGTGGATGAAGGACACCTTTGATCATCCATTTCTGTTGGCTCTTTGACTCCTCTTTCTAACCATATAAGTTCCCATGTATTAACCGTATGGCTCTATCACTAACATCTCACGTTTCATTATTTCACCGTCACAAAATAAACTCACCTTGAAATACCTTCAAATATAGCAATGAGATTTTCTACATCTTTTAATGTCAGATGTATCTTATTTGTAAAACAGTATTTTGTGAATCAGTGCAGTTTAGCTGTTGTAAAGATAGGCCTTAGAATGTCTAGTCTTGAATAATTGTTAAGCTTTCAATATAATTTACAACGCTTTCGTGACTCCGATATTTCAGCATGTTTACATCTTTGCTGTCTTAGATGTGCAGCTATTGGAATACATGGAAGAAAATACCTTTTGCTTCAGTGAACGCTTATTGCAGAAAACAACTTCTCTGTCTTAATTTGCTGCTTAATAATGGGTTGAATTCTAATTTTTACAACAAAGTTTTTCATTTGATGCAACCACTGCATATATTTCTTATTGAAGCTCATATTTCATTATGTATGGCATTAATTCACTGCTTCAATTGTATATGCAATCAACTACAGATGTTGGACAAAAGTAATACTGAATTATCTGTTGCTACAAATTAATCCACTGTAATGACAATCAATTTAATGTTTATATGTCAAGCAGATTTCACCATTTGTAAGAGGATAATGGGATATGAAAAGTATTTAAGGGTGCCAACTCCCTCCCTGTGGGCATTTCTCTCTCAATCACACACACTCACTCACTTACACACTCACACACACTCACTCTCTCACACACTCTCTCACACACACACTCACACTCATACATTCACACACTCACTCACACACTCACACTCATACATTCATATATGTAGCAGATAAGCATTTCACGGCATTCAGCAATATGGCATACGGAATACCACAAACAGGGCTCGACCAAAAGGGGTTGGCACACTCATGTTAGATTTCAAATTCCTCCGGAGTTGGCTGCCATTCCCAGTGCGTTTTTTAGTTTAAAAATCTATTTTAAGATGTGTTCTTTTTGTCATATATTTATACTGTTTTCTGAACAATTTTCACTGTGTTAAACATTAGGATTATGGTATTTTTTAACTCTCCCCACAAACCTGCCATAACTTGTGCTGTAATATGAAACATTGAGGTCAGACAAAAAAAATTTTAGAATTTTTTATATCCTGTTGAAAGTAATAGAAAAAGAAAGGAATACTTTGTCCAATAACTGTGGTTATATTATGGTAATATGGATTGAGGATTAAACAATTATTTATCATCAATGCTCGGAGAAGATTCAAATATGAAATTATTATTTTTTCAAAATTTATAAAAAAAACATATTAACATGTTTATAACATTGCAAAAACATCCTTTTCAAGGTTATGTTATCTTGCACATTAAAAAAACTTTCAAATTTGAATAAAGCATGTTTGGAGTAACAGCATTGATGGTTATGTGGTTACTATGGTTACAGGGCACGTGCATCACAGTTTGTGCAGGCTAACTCTGTCACTGCAGTATCTTGCTGTGCATGTCATGACAATTGTGCATGTGTTAATCTATGTTTTGTTAACTTTGTTTCCTTATAGGGAGATATTACGTTTTTCAACTCCCCCCTTTTGTTGAGCATACCTGATGAAAATGAGGAGCTGCAGGAAAGTAGTACCTCCCCCAGTAGTTGCGCAGAGGTTTGTATGAACATAATCCATAACAGAAGAGTGTTTTGTCCAAATAACCGTTAAACAAATTGGGAACAGACCCCATCATGTTCTCAATAAGGGGAGACAACTCTACAAAGGGGAGACAACTTACATTGTTGTGTGAAGATTTTATTATTTTGTTTCAGGTAAAACATTTTAATGTATGTTTATTATTTATACCTTGTAATTTACAATTATTCCCAAATAGCCTACATGATATCCCATCCTGTGTACAGTAGAATTCTCATCATCATCCAAACATGTGGCTTTTTTTTTTCTCCAAAATTCTGTTTTGCATAATAAATGGAGTACCGTAAGAGTGACAGTTTCTTTGTGAAATTGTCCAGGGCTGACATGAAATAGTGAAAGAAAAATTCAATAAAAGTAAATATTGAACTCTCATTTTCTTGGACATGTATCAAGTCTAATGAGGAAGAGTGATTAGAATCCCACTGTACCAACAACAGATGTTTAACTGTCCCTTCAATATCCATCCCATATGCTAGTCCAGCTCTCTATCTAGAAGTTGTGAATCACATAAGATTTGCACTTTCTGTTCTTGTCAACTCTTTGAGGATTGTTTGGTGAATGTTGTTACATGCCGCAGTCAGCAATAATACAGCTTACACTGTGAGAAGGAAACATCACTCAACATTGACTCCACAGCTTCTGATGTCACGTTCACACATGTAGATAGGTTTATTGATTGACAGTATTGTATGTGGCTGTTATCCTTGCCAAGCTGTATGGTCAGAACTTGTCTTTTGCATATTGTTTCTCGCCTTTGCATGTTTCATTTACTGCACAATCCATGATAAAGAGAATTTTGCTGATCTTAATTTTTTGTTTAGCTTTATGTGTATTTAGATTTTAAAAAATATTAAAAAAGAAACTTTATTAATTTGGGCCAAATTAAATTTTATGTAATTTCATTTTGTTGAATTTCTTTCGTGGCTGATGCAGTTTGTAAAATAAAATACTAATTTGAGAGTATCTTGATATATAGAAAGAATCAAAACTTGAACTCACAGTGGATCTATGTAACACGTGTTGATTTAACTGGATGAAAAGAAAGTCACACATAACTTACATTTAATTTGATTTCCATAGAAACATGATGAAGATGATGAGGATGACGAAAAGTCACCTGACGATTCAACACATCAGAACAGTACAGAATACAATGGAGACAGTGGTTATGAAGCTGAATCTCGACCTGAAAATACAGAAGAGGATGCCACACCAGACTCGACTGTCGACATCCATACCCCGCCCAAGATGTATATGTACGACTTGACAAATCTGGACTTGCAGGACTCTCCTAGTCTCAATGATCCTAGTCGACGACTTCTCACGGCAGAGATTGAGACATGATGTCTCTTTGGGTCTTTTGCTCTCACAGATCAAACTACAGTGTCTTGTGTGATTGTCTTATGTAGAAATTAGCATGAGATCAAGACGATGTCTTGTCAGGTCTTTGGAGATGGAAATAAAGTGTCACATGTCATCTTGGGTTGAAGACGTTATTGGGAGATGTCTTTACAGGTCTCTAGTTCTCAGAGATAAGGTTCAATGTCTCAAGTTATCTTATTTGTTACAATAACATTGGGCGAGATTGAAACATCACTGTAAGTTCTCCGATATCATGAGTGTGTCAAAGGATCTTGCAATCGTCTCAGTTTTGATTTCAACATTACAATGAGATTTAGATCCAAATGGAAAGAAATTTTGGAGATGCTGAGACATTGATGTGGGAAATTGATATATCTCATGAATCTATTGAACGAGACAGGAAGATGATGTGATATGAGAGACTGTTTGAGGAGCTGAGACACCTTGTGAACTCTCAAATCATTCCATTCTCAGCGGGTTCAATTTTTACGCAAGCAGCTGTCTTATCTCAGACAGTTGAGACGATGTCTTAGATGAGATGTGTGAGAAACAAAATAATAACATGAATGAGACGATCATTTGTAGTTTCAGTATACATACTTTCTGATGTGCTGGAAGTCAGGGAACTGAACGTCATGGAGTGTGACTGACAATCATCTTGGTTGCAGGGCAAGGAGAGACCTTGTTACAGTTTTATCCACATAACTGGACTTCACAGCCAGATAATTTATATGTGTTCACATCAAACAGCTCTTGGAGGAGGTCTGTTATAGTGTGGTGCCAAAGAAGGTTTGAAACATTCTGTGTTCAACCCTTTATTTCAGCCCATCTGAAAACTGGATGTGAAGACATAAGGGGTTAATGTGATCTTTTGATACATCAAGAGTTAGTGTACTGTATGTAGTACATCAAATGTTAATGTTTTGTATTAGTACATAATGTAGAATGTTTGAGGACTGAGACAGTGGTAGAGTTAGATATACTACAAGGGGAGGTAACTGTTTTATATACTACAAGGGGAAGTGACTGATCTGAACAAAGCATGCCAGTTATATGATGAAGCACTGACATCAAGGGACAGGAAGTGACAGCAGTTCAAAGGACACCGGGTTGAAGAATTACAATATTTATTAAACGCTTGACAAGGGATGAATCACGACTGTCTGAAATTGAATATCGTGTGTTGCAATATGCTTACAGAATATGAAATTTTGGTTTTAGAATATAATAACTTGTTCGTCACTGAGGGAGAACACCTTTGAAAGTTGTCATATGGTATTTGGCATAAGATGATAAGTGTCAGATAGGAATATGATTTTGATAGAGGATAGTCATTTATAAACTAGGACAATATTGACAAGATCGTGAACTAGATGTGTATTATGAATGTGTATAAACAATATTTATAACTTTGCCTATGGAAGATGAACAGTGACAAGACTGGGATGTGGAGCCATTGTGTGCCCAGAAAAGAGTGTCCAGTGTAGACGACACGAGCACGTAGCTCCGAGGTGGCTGTCCAAGCAATACTAGATATGCCATGTCCACCATCTTTGTTTCTGTGTGTACGTCAATGAGATTGACTGTTTTGTTTCAGCTTACTTGCCAGTTACTCAGTCTATTGTTACCTCAATCTTTTAAAGATTTTTTGTGGATCAATTTTCTTCAGAAAATGGAAGTGATTTTTTTTCATGTCATCAAACATATGTACATGTATATATGTAACTTGTATGTGATGTGTTTTCAGTATGTTTTATGATATCCAGTTTTGTGTCATTTTTCTGATTACAATGATCATCTTTTCATACAAATCCATACAAAATTATATTAGTTCTTCACTTTAATATGGTTGTATTTGTTCAGGCTTGCCCTAAGTAGTGCATGTTTTTCTGTCATATGTTATCAGACGCATGTTGTCTCGATATAGGACTTCAGGGTTACTGAGAAGTAATAAAGATGTCTATTTGAAAGGAAGAATCCAAGGAGCATGAATTAAAACTCAGATGGGATTTCATTTCATATTTGAACCTGCATCATTTCCTTCTTGTTTGGTAGGTGTTCTCTTTAAGGATTTGTGTGAGCAGAGGGGAGATAACTCTCAACACCAAGACAGTGGTTGAGCTGCATTCTGAATGTGGAGTCAGTGCTTCTTTTCGATAGAAAGTTGTGTTGTCTCATCAATTTTGTTTTTAAAAAATGTCAAACATGAATTTCACTTTTTAGGTTATTTTTTATTTTAAATTGACAAAGGATTTCTTTTCTTTCTTTCTTTTCAAGTCTGTCAGCTAAACTTTTTCATCAGTTTTCACTGATATACCAATTTCAATGTTTGATGCTATTTTCTGTTATGAACATTTAACACTTTAAGTTCTTTAGAATGTTTGACAACCATATAGTAATACACAGTGTTTGTTAGTCAAAATCCTCAGATTAGTAGGCTAGGTGAATAAGAAATAATTAATTTTGATGACACCAAAGCAACATTTCTTTAGAATAGTGTCTTCAAGATATGCGTTCCCTATATTGCCCAATTGAAGACCACTGTCCTTGTAAGCTCTGTGGGAAGTAAACAAGTGTAACATTCAGATAGGAAACTGCTTGCCCTTGCAGAGTTTGTCCAGGCCGAGTTACCACTAGTGCAATCCAATTCTGAATGGTTGTGGCTTTTCTCATTTTGACTTACTGTTCTTCAATGTTGTGATAAGCTACTGAACATTCCATTGTTAATCTCCGATCGATGTCATCAGTGATCACTCTGTACACAAATCTACACCCGTTAAGCCTTGTCACCATTAGGACTAAACACCTACATAAGCCTTATCACAATTATACTACTCAAGAGAAGTTAAGGATCACCTGATTCTTTCATATTACTATAGTTAAGCTGTCCTGGCGTGACATGTTAACTCAAGTGATATCGAAGACTTGGGTGGTCCTTTACTTATTTTGAGTAGTATAATATATTGAGCATTCTCACTGGGATTGCTGGTCAAGAAAGGTTTTGCTTTTCTTGGCTGCCATGTCAGTGGGGCTATCGCATGTTATCTTATCCTGCCTTGCAACATTTGACTATAGGGTAAAATGTGCTCATGGTGTTGTCATGCTGGGGTTTAAGGGTATGGGCTCTGTTAGTTTTGTGGTCATAAATTAATGTTCAGTTTGTTCCATTTTGGACAGAAAAAAATAAGTTGCTGTGAAAAATCATTCTGTCCATCTTCTTAGGTAAAGTTGTTGATATAATAACCGGTTCCCAAATTGTCCATTTTGGGTTCTTTCACCCAGATTGGTCAGCTGTGGGTTCTCTCTTAAAAATATAAAAGGCACAAATCCCAAACCTGGACCATATCCCATCACACCATGATGAGCCTCATCCAGTCAGTCGCTAGGTCCCTGAGCAATATCTTTCCTCACACATGAATCTGACACACCATGATATAACTGGAATACTGTTAAAAGCAATGTTAAAAACCAACTCCATCACCCTGAAGCTATTATTTTCTCTTCCACCCTGTCCTTACTGTAATGATTTAGCCTTAAACGAAGCAAGTCTAGATTTTCCACAGGTTCAGAATTTCAAATCTCACTGGGGCTCCTTTTCAATTTAAATGGAGTTTGTTTCTATAAAAATTAGATATTTTCAGGGACTAAGCGTTAGTCTACATGATGAGCCTGAGCCAGCACTTCCTGTATGTATCACTGTTACCCCCGGCAACCCCCAGTCCTAGAACATGATGGTGGGATGCCTGCTCCCAGTTTCCTTACAGTCTCCCTGGTGGTTGTAGAGTCAACTAGCCTGTGTAACTAGCCTTGAACCAGAGGGCCGCCACTTGTAGCTGTGTACGAGCTGCTGTCAGTAGAGAGCCCTGTCACAGCCAAACGCAATGGGTCCTTTCTGGACTTGAAAATGTTAGATGTTCCTAGTATGGACATCAAGTCTTTGCTAGGCATTTAGAAGCTGGAAGAACATGAAGACATGGAACTATTATTGATAACAACATGTAATCTATAAAAGTTTCATGTCTACAATGAAAATGTTATTGTCATATTGCTGTGCATGTTTTGTATGGGTTTATGAACATATTTGTATAAAATGTACGGATCTCCAAGGATATTATCTATTTCTTTGAGTTCCTCATGCAGAGGGGATGGGGTATTGGCCTAGTGGGTAAAGAATTCGCTTTCCATGCCAAAGGCCATTGATACATCAAAACCCATTTCTGGTGTCTCCTATAACAAGTCCCTCTGTCAGAGTCTGTAAAAATCCTGGAACTTGTGATCTTTTGCTGTAGCTCTGTGGCAGGTAAAGTGATATACAGGTTTTGGGGGAAAGATCCTAAATCAATCTCATGTTCTTCTGATGTGTTCCTTTGCTGTGACTGGGCTTTAAAAAAGTGCCTTTATCCTGCAGCTTGTGGTTTGTCTTGTCCAATGAGAAAAGTCGTACTATATGCATGTGGTGGCCATGGACACTTTCTCTCAATCACCATTGGCTTAAAATGGCATTTGCATTTCCATGAGTAGTCCTCTACCAGAAATGCTAGGAATATAAAGATTCTGTATGCAATATCTATTATAATGTTTAGTCTTACCTTGGACAACATTGTCCAATGTATTAAGCATTTCATGAAGGTTTTATCAGGATATTCATCTCCGTGACTTATTATCCCACGTTGTTGTCGACAGTATACAATGAATGAATTGATGGAAGGTTTGGTACTGGTGGTACAGTATATGTATTAATTCACCATTTGTTTAATTGCTTCTCAATGCTGTATTTATTCACACATCATTTATGAAATGTTTGATTGCCAATTATTGTTTAAGATGATATTCTACAGGATGTTCGTAGAAACACTGTTTGTTATAAGATTAGGCGAGGTGATCCAAATGAGAAAGAAGTGTTGACTTGTTTTCATGACTTGTTTTGAATTTGAAAGTTATGAATCCAGAGACCATATTATATAAAGAGCGATCTTGAAAACATAAAAGATGTTGGTCCAAGTCAGTGTATATGTGAGTTTGCATTCAGTATTTTTTACGCAGTTTTTGTAAGAAATACTATTTGAACTACGACTATTTGACTACTAGATGATTTATGAAAGTCCAGCATGAACAGTGCAGAACCGGAGTGTACTGTATGCACTACTCAAAAGAAGTTAAGGACCACTGGAGTCTCGACAGATTAACTATTGTAATATGAAAGGAATGGGTGGTCCTTTATTTCTTTTGAGTCGTATAGTTAAATATTACTGTGGCTTGTGTGCAAGTCAGCCATTACAATTGTATCACTGATATCCTACTCTAGAAGCCACTGCCAATGTTTTTTTCCTCTCTTGATCTGCCATATGTACAAATGTACAAAGAACAGGGGAGACGGACGGACGTTCCTGCCTGTAATCATACTCAAGTGTCCCTGTCTCTGCAAGAAGCTTACACAGAAGGAACTGCATTTGATCTACAGCCAATCTGTGCTCGAAGTCCACAGGCTTGAAGGGAGCAGCAATTTGATAATTCTTGGGATAGACTGGGATATCTTTGAAGAAAATCATCTGCCTGTTAATCCTGGGGGGGGGGGGAATTAATAAATGGCCACACATCATATATTGCTGATGACACTGAAGTTAACATCCTGGTTGTAAACTTACACAATATCTTTCCTCTGTGTAGGCTTCTTGCTTTTTAAGCCTTGTATGATGTTGTTTGTGTGTGTCTGTCTGTCTGTGTATCAACAGTGCCATTCTCCCGGTCATAAGCTGTTAATATGTACATTGAACATCGGTATGGTGGTGTAAAATTGAACAAACAAGGAGGTAGAAACTATTAAAGAGTCCGTTTATAATGATTTGGGAACTTCAAAAATGGAAATATATCAGGGATGACGATTTTCTACAGCTGAGATTGACTGCTAATTTGTGTATCTTCAAACAATCTATGATGACACTTTTGGGTTTTTTCAGTTGATTCTGTGAACATTGTCATTTCTGGAATATTGTGTTAATTTTTGGACAATCATCAAGGTCACATAATTAAATCAATGAATTACGAAATTACCATCGTCTTATCCACCTTCATTCATCTTAACTATGCATATAAATTATTTCTATAAAATGTTAATTGTCTGTTATTCTGTAGCATATTAGAGGAATTTTATGTACTGATAAAAAATTGAAACATGTTTTAAGTGCTTGTTTTTTAATTTAAATCAGGAAAATGGAATAAACTGTATTGGAAATATTGTACAAATTTGGAAAGAAGCATGATTGTATAAAGGAGAGGTAGTGTGTAGTAAGTCTGATTTAAGAGGCTGTGTGAGGGAGCAGACTCCATACTTAATCACTTCTACATCTGTTAAATGTCACAGACCTTCCCAGGTCTTCCAAATTCATTGGGAATTACCTAGACTTTTAAAAGAATTACATCGGAGAAACATTGTAATTGGATATCTCAACTGCATTTGAAATAGAGAACAAATTATGTTGTAAACCAACTCCCAATTAGTCAGGATGACAAGAGCTACGGCTTCCATACCCCAACATAGACTTACGATCGTCGTAGGGTTAATAATGCCGAGTGACTTACGATCGTCGTAGGGTTAATAATGCCGAGTGACTTACAATCGTCGTAGGGTTAAGAATGCCGTGTGACTTACGATCATCGTAGGGTTAAGAATGCTGTGTGACTTACGATTGGCGTAGGGTTAAGAATGCTGTGTGACTTACGATCGGCGTAGGGTTAAGAATGCTGTGTGGAACAAAACCCAAAACTCAGTTTAGAGGAAGTGCTTGGGCAGAGGAATTAATGAAAGTTCCACCATGTGATCTTTGCATTAAGACTTCCATACCCTGACCGACTGTAGGGTTACGAATATATATCGGAACAGCTTATACACACTGAATTTAGTGATTCACAGACAAGACTGACATGGAGCATATCCACACAAGATTGTCATCCCTATATTGTTTTCACATCATCCAATCTGCTTCATGAATGTACTATGATTTCATTATGGTGTCCCGCCTGTTTATATATTACCATGTGTACAAACGTCAACATCTCATCCTGTACAGTCAGCTGTGTTACTGTTAATAAGTTAGAATTTTATTTATCAAGTTTGTATGTAGCGAGATTTATTTGCAGATGATTGTTATGATTGTCAAATGAACATGTATTTAGTAGTTATATACCACTCAAAAGAAGTTAAGAACCATCCGATTCTTTCATGCCATGTCATCTAATCCATGCTATGAAACATTACTATGAAAGAACTGTGTGGTCCTTTTAGTAATATGAAAGAATCGGGGTGGTACTTAACCTTATTTCAGTGGTATATTTGTTACAAACTCCTACCTTTCATATGTATAAATCCATAAGTATTTAGTTAAAACAAAACTCTTATATAAGTTCCTTCATGTTCTGCAATAAGGAAAATTGGGTTTGGTAGACAAGATTTGACAGATTTGGGGGGGTCAAATAACCAGAGGCTACTACCCCTGTGTACAGGAAAGAAAAGGAAGTTTGAGATGTTTCCAAGGGTTGTTCCTACAGTCGCCCATGGTCAGCTATCCTCTGTCTGGCTGACCTGTAGATCAGCTCATTCCATGGTTGAGTGACCGCAGTAATGGGAAGCTGGATGGTAGGGGGCAGGTTCTACATGATTCAGGGATGCAACATTTACTTTTAGCATTCTTTTTGTTTTGTCTTGTTGTCATTTCAAACAATATGTTGAATTAAAGATTACTTTACTTACGCACTTACCTGTTGTTTGCTTTCATCTGCATCATTAACACTGGCCCATTTGGTTTGTTAACTAATAATCCTGGTAATGATCCGAGTCTGGACCAGACAAAGCAGTAATTTTGTTGTGAGCAACAATCCGTTCCATCCAGGTACAAAAACAAGCAATCCTTTCCTTTCACATTAAGCAGACATGCCGTGCTATAACTGGAATACTGTTAAAAGCAGCATTAAACCCAAACCCAAGTCACAGATATTTACTAAATATAACACAATATTGAATGTTTCTTGCCCCCTAACTACTGAAAATTAACAGCATGAGACAACGGAGACCTCCAACATGGCGCTGACAATACCCAGATGCTGCTTCTTGTAACTGTGCCTTGTGAGTTGGGGGTCAGTCAGCTTTAGAATCATCCCCCATGACTGCTAAATGTGGCAAGTCTAAAGACTAGTGCTAATGAATCATAATCGGGGAGAATCTTGGATTCTGGAACAACAAATGGACAACTCTGCCACCTGTTGTAGAGAAGAAGACCACATAAGGGGAACTCAGAGACAAGATAGATTTGTGTCTTGTTTAGTCTTGCACTCAGCATTTAATAACTGACTCTGGAAAAGACAATCCACTGATTGCCGGCAACAATTCATGTTGTCTACTGAGTCTGACCAACCGATCTATGAAATGGCCTCTTACAACCAGGTTGCTCGGGACCCTGAATCTGAACAAGGAGAAGAGACAAGAAATATGGGGGGCCTTTATGGTTGATACTTGAGGCAAACACCAAGCTTGATTCCCAGAGGAATGCAGTGTGAAAGTATCACCCTCTACAATAGACAAATTCCCCCCATTGACCAGTTATGTAGGTTTTGAGGCTCGAACTTCCACTCTTTTTTCTGACACTGGTGTTTATAGTCTAAAAGGCTTAAGCAGATGAACTGAATATATTTTCTACTATTCCACTTTTGACAGAGATATTTTTTATCTTTCCATGATACACAAAACTGATAGAGCTCGGTCTTTACTACCAAAAAAATATTCATGATCCATAACTATTTTTGGTTCAGTATCCGTCTAACTAGGGATAATCAGATACGGCATTCTATCAAAAGTGGAGTAGGACATACGTCCTAGGTACCGATTCTACAGACTCATCATGGGAACACTGGGTTTACACATTTTAATCAGTACACCATGATTTTACATGCAAATGCTAATTGTTTCATTTGCATACACATTGTTTTTGAGATAGACTTTTATTATACAATCTGTATTCATAACCTGAAAACCAACCAAAAAAATATGATCCCAAAACATTAACGCACATTTATATGTTATGGTCTGGTAACACCTGAGGTTTTCCCTGGTTTTTAGTCTATAAATAACACTGAAAATGAACATTTCACAATGTATTTCAGGGTAAATCTCACAACTTATGAAATTAATATTTAACTTTGAACTGTTTAAGTTCATGCCCATTTTGGATCAGGTTTCCAAACAAGCAGTGATCAGTCTTTATAAAAATGGAATGAAGCAAATTTAACGCTCAAGTGTGTGCCTTAATCCATATCCATACCACCCCAGAAAACAATAAAATCATTTTTTACATCATGCCACTGCATATGGATATAACAAATAATCGGCAAAAATTGTTGATTCTCCTTGTATGTTAACCTATTTCTGTGTGTTTGTTTCATGAACTTGGGTATAGCTTGTTCCCCACCCCTTTCAAATCCTGGAACTACCTCTGTCATCAAACATATTAATCATAATATCAACACAAGAGGTGGAGTCAGGATTTTGGAAAAAGGGGTGCACACAAAACACATGACAGAGGGGATGACACATAAAGGTGTGTACTCCCCTCTCTCACTCCACCCATGGCAAATGTATAACCTCCCCAACCAATTGTTCATACCACACAGTCGCCTGTAAATGATGAAGACTGGACCCGAATACCATGGCTGACAACACCTGCAATCGTCCATGTCCTTTAGGTACAACGACCCATTAGAAGCTCACTTTGCAAACACCCAATAACACCATGAACCCATGAGGAGCAACTCGGCCCTGGAATCCCTTGTGATATTTATTGCTAAAAATACATAGATCATGTATATTCTCAAATATGAACTATGGCATAGATGACATAGCATATGATATATACTACACAGTAAACATGATCATGGTATACAGTTTATATCACAGAGTATACAATATATATATATACCGTATTCAATGTAATAAGCGTCCAGGGCGCTCTCAAAATTAGAAATAGGGGGCGCTTATTAGAATATTAATTTCAGTTGAAAGATCATAATTTTCGTGGTTTATGCTAACTGCCTGAAATGTTTACATACAACAGATATATTTTCAAGAATTTAATTGCCCATAATTACGGGTGGTATAACACACGAGTGCGTATTATACACGAATAAATAAGTCTTGTGTACATTGATCAGTCGGAAGGGGTGCGGATTGGGATTGTTCACTAGCCAATATCTTAGCAAATATCGCCGTGGGCGTTTATTAGAGTGGGGCGCTTATTACATCCAATACGGTATATATATGCAGTTCTATCATGACATAACGCCGGTGAAACCCACACAAGTATACAGTGAGTGAGTTTGGATTAAATAATCTTTTAACTGTTCTACTTATATCATGGTGAGTGAGTGAGTTGGGTTTAATGCCGCTTTGAACATTATTCCAGTTATATCACGGCATGTCAGCTTGATGTTGGAGGAAAGCCCTAAGTAATGCAGGTCCTTGGTTAAAGCCACAAGCACCGAAACGGTGCTTACAAACCTAGAAACATAATCGGGGCAATCTGTTATTCATAGGTTTCTAACGTGCCCAAGGGACCACTATGCACAGTGAAATGCAGCATCTTTAATGACTGGGCTACCCGTGCTCCCGGAAGAAAGCCTGATACAGGTCTTGTATGCTCACATACAAAGGACAATAATTATGGTGAATCAGGCTTCTAATCCAACAATAATAGGATCCATGTATGCAAAAAGGGGGGATAACTCTTCACAGCAAATGGAACCTAATATGATTGCCTCCCTTGGCCCTGGGTATTACACACATACGGTTACACTATACAAATTCATGCTATCATATCACAACACACTGAATAATGTTCATCAGATTGCTTCAAATTCACATTTCTGAATAAATTGTACATGTGTATAACAAATGTGTAAAGGGATAATATACTTCATCATAACACAACCACACAAATCAAGAGTAATTACCATGGTAACGCAATCATGATACATTTAAAACGGCACTAACGTCCTGTGAATACACATGGTCAACAACTCCAGCAATGAAATGAGGCTGCATATAACTCATGGACGTCCAACAAGTACTACTTTGTGAGAACCCGGGCCTGAAGCAATATGTTGCATGAGAAATACTGCTGTTTGTTTGATGTAATCTGAATGCTCATTGGTCAGAGTGAGTGAGTATGGTTTTACGCCGCTTTTAGCAATATTCCAGCAATATCACGGCGGAGGACACCAGAAATGGGCTTCACACATTGTACCCATGTCGGGAATCGAACCCGGGTCTTCGGCGTGACGAGCGAACGCTTTAACCACAAGGCTACCCGACCGCCACTCATTGGTCAGATCACTCGCTGGTTTTCCTCTTGCTCATCTTCCCGAGGCAAGGGAGTTAACTGACTATAAAGTCCAGTTTCCACCCTCGCCGAACTAGGCTGGAATTATGGAGTTATTTCTGGCTGGAGTCTGCGCATAATCCAATCAAAATCGCAAAACCATCACCTAATCTGCACTGCAAATTGCAGGATTTGCAAAACGTGTACTGTCAACATATATTTTCCAACTATTTTCATGTCTTTAATCAAGGAACTCATGTGATTTGATGCACTTCGCAAAGTAAGACATGTTTTCTACACTTTAAATATTGATTATCCATCAGATCTTAATCACTTAGTTCCGCCATGCAAGTGATATCAGGTGGAATCTGATTGGTCAATAGAAGGGACATGACTCGTAATAGCCCAGGTGGCACTACGATCAAACCCAGACATTCCGGCCAAGTTCGGCAAGGATGGAAACTGGACTTTTACAATGAGTTAACTCCTTTGCCTCAGGAAGATGCGCTTGCTGGAAACCGGCCATGACTGGAGGTCATTGGTCAAAAAGGGTGACTACACTGCAAACGTAGTCTCAGTCAACTGCGGAATGTAGTGATGATGATGATGATGATGATGATGATGATATTATATGCTAATTGTTTCTGCTGTACAGTATCTTTTCTGGTGATATAATAAAAGTCTGAACTATATACATGATATACATCAGCTTGCCATTAAACATGGTAAAAGCATGGTCCAATAAACCAAAGCATGAACAGCTGCGTGGAAGATAGATGACATTTTGTAACATACACTCTAACAAGTCATTGTCCCTTCATACAATTTCACATACCTGGTTAGCCAGGTTATATACTACACAAAAAAAAGTTCAAGAACACACCAATCTTTCATATGTAGCGGCCATAAAATTTCTGAGTCCCGTGATGGGATTCGAACCGAGGTCGAACCGAGGTCGGACGACTTGTCCACATGACCAAAGAGGTTAACCCCGTCAGCAAGCTGACAAGGTAAGGATGTCAGCTGTGGGATGACTCCATGCCCTGCTCCAACTAGTAAATCTGTCATGGCTAGTGGGTTTTGCAACACACAGCCTTCCTGAACTGGGATGTTCTTTATCTTGAGTAGTATGTTGTATTGAGTGAGTTTGGCAGCAGTTTGAGCAGTACTTCCCACTTACATTGCAGCATGACTGCTTACTGTGGGAGGAAAGCCCAAACTGCACTGGTCTCAGATGTGTACCACTTTGACAAAACCCACAGGCAAAGCACAGACCGAACATCATACTTGGAGCAAATCTGGGATTTAAAGCCAGCAAGCTCCTCACAGTGATGGCCTGTTTACGGAGCTCTCTACAGTGTCACTGCCTCCCCACTGTGGTACGCGG